TGCTTCTTCATGCTTCCGTTCCTCCCTTAAGACAAGCTCCTTGCCATGGTTACTCTATCAATCACAGCATAAAGCAGTCAAATATCCAGCGCTTTACCTTTCTTCCCATGCCAAACCTTCCTCTCTTACATTCACATGCACACAAGCGTACGCGTACACACCGCGCACAGGAAAGACTAAACGATCTATCAGAGCACATTGTGTATCTGCAAATCATGGAACGATGGAGGGGATAGGAATGGAAAAATGTCAAAATCTTTTTTCTTTTTTTCTTCCCTCCTTAAATTGCTGCAATACTGGCCTTGATTTCACACACGCTACTGTGCTTAAACACACAAAATTACATGCATGCACATGAAAATCTAATTCCTCTCCAGGGAAACAGAAAGAAATCACCGGGGGGGAGAGGAGGGGGACTTTGTAAGTCATTCTGCAGATTCAGAGACAACGAGGATAAAAAGGAACTGCTAAGAGGCACCTTTGTGAGTGTATTTGTTGAAGAGTATAGGTCTCTATATATCTGCTTTCTCTGCTTCGGCTGAGGAGCCTTTAGTTCGTCATTCAGCAGCAGAGAGAGATCTAAAGGGAGGCGATGGCCTGTGCGCCCCCGTCAGTTGAGTGACTCGTTGTTCTGCGAGCGATGTCAGGCTGCTTTTCCTTGACGCCACGATGGCCGAGATAGGACGAAGCGGTTCCCCCCTCGAATGCTCGCATGAAAAACAAAGAAATGAAAACGCACGGACCTCCACTCTGTCCCTCAAGCACACACACACGGACCCACGCGGCACTCCGTTTCTACGCGCCCGGCAGCGTCCGTGTAAGATGTGGTGAAAGCGCGACCGGGGGAACTGTACCCACCACATCTGCAGGCTCACTGGAAAACAATAGGGGTGTGAAAATGAGCGACAGACATCTTACCGCACACACCGCAGCCACCTATAAATGGAAAAAATATTGTACTGCACACACAGACACAGATCCCGACACACACACTTGCACTCGGTCTCCCCACTCAAACACACAGACATATTGGAGATGCCTATAAAACGGGGACGCAGAAACCCCAGTTTCTAATTGTGAACCTCCCGTACACTGCGGAGCCTGCAAAATCTTTAAGCACTCTCTTTCTCATTTCTTTTTGCGGCCGTTTATTTGCGCTGAAAATATCTGCACGTCACAGCGCCAGCCGACACAATGCACATGTGGTAGTCATCAATCATAATTATCATGGTTTAAAAAAGCCACAGCTGTTATTTGATTTTAAAAACAAGCCATAGTGCAGTGCCTTCCAACGATACGTCAAGTTGTCAGCGGAGGCCTTGGCCTGCACAGCAGAAATGTCTCTCTCTCTCTCCCTTTTCTCTCCGGCTTCCCAATGAGCTGGTTGGAGAGCACAGCCGAGCTGAGCTGCATTCAACCTTTCCCCATGACTCACCAGTGTGTGTCTTTATTTTTAAACATTTTCTCTCTCTCTCTCCATCGCCGTGTGCTTATTCTGTCTGAGTGAGGCCGCTGTTATAGACTTCACACAACGTTTGTTTATGGCTTCTTTAATCAGGACCAGATAATGGAGAGTTGTCTCCATCTGTGGGCGCATCCCCAGAAGCCGGGCGTGTACGTCTGCATGTGTGTGGCTGTGTGTTGCTACGCGTTAATGATCCCTCCCAGAATGTTCCAATAAATATTTTTCTCGGGAGAATATCGGTACACAGACATCGAATGGGATTAAGGTGTGTATGTGTAATGTTCATGAGGCCCCGCGCGCTTCCTGTGTCATGCGTGATGTCACCCAGTCTTGATTATATCAACTGGCTCGCTGTTGCTGCTTTGCTGTGTCATCGCCATGGCAACTTTGTTATCACTTATATTTACCTCTGACTTCAATCAAGCAGTAATGCATTACACTTGCTCAACTCATTTTAAAAATTACTGCCTGGAGCGTAAGTCAATTGAGCCAAAAAATAAAAAATGGTACAAACATGAAGCATACAGTTGTTGTGCATGTACTACCCGTTTTAACCTCCCTCACACACTATTTCAATAAGACTCAAATGTGGATTTTTGACTAAATCATTCCATAACCTTCCATTTCTTTCTTTTTTTTGAGACATTCGTGACACTGTGATTTTCGAACATGCTCAGGATCATCATCTTGTGGAAAGGTCCACCTCTGGTTCAACTTTAGCTTTTAGACAGATGGCCTCACGTTATCTTCTCTTTGATACAATGCAGAATTCGTTGTTAAATCATCAACTGCAAGCTGCCCAGTCGCCAAGGCAGCGCAGCAACCCCAAACCATAACAGTTTTCACCACAACGCTTCACAGCTGGTATGAGGTTCTTTTGAAAAGTTGTCTTTGGTCTGCACCGAGCATGTCTACTGTTACTGTGGCCAAACAACTCTGTTCTCTACAAAACTGTAGTTTTCCCCAAATGTTCTTTTTGGACAACAAAGGCTTTTTCCTGACATGCTTCTCATGCAGGTCTGCAATCTCTTTCTGATTATAGATGCATGAACTTTGACCCAAACAACTAAGAGTTACCTGCAGATCTTGTGCAAATCACTTGTAGATGATTTTACTTACAGTGGAATGATTTATTTCCAATAATTTGGAGATCTTTTGAAATCCTTTGCCAGACTCAAAGGCATCCACACCCTCATTTCTGAAGCCCTTGGAGAGCTCTTTGGATCTTGGCTTGACGACACCACACACTTCACTAACAAAGAGAACAGCAGAGGTTTAAATAAGACATGTTCCACCTGTCACTCCTTAAGGAGAGTCTAATTATTGGCACCTAATCTGGAACCACTGATTTTAATTTTATGGATCTGAATTTGTGATAGATTACTTTTCCATGTGATCTAATCAGTATCTAAGAGGATCAAGAGTTTGCTTGTTCAAATAAGTAAAACAAAAAAAAAGTCTACACTTTCCTTTAGAGAGGTTTTTTTAAACATGATGTATAATTTTCAAGGCCTCACTCCAGGATATTTGTGGACAATATCAATCTATGTCAGCAACAGTATTGGGGGGGAAGCAATAAAAAGGTCAAGTTGCTTAAATCTGCATTTTGACACTGATATGCATTTTCCACATTTTGTATTTATTATATGTACTCATTAGTTTGTTCATTTACTTGCAACTGCAACATTTTCATTATAAACTGAAGGCTGGGTAAGACAAGCGGATGCAATCAACATGCAACTGGAAGCTAACACAGCTGGGATTACCACAAATATGTTGAATAAATATCCCATTCCTCCATAAACATTTGCCAAACCTTTATTGAATGTTTTGATACCTCCATTATTTTCTCTGGCTTGCAACGTCCTTCTCTTCTTTTATTGTGTCAATGCTACTTTTTTTTACTACTCTCCACAGCATATACATATAAAATGCTACTCCTGTGCCTGTGCTGTGCTTGCAGAACACTAGATCCAAACATCACAAAGACCAAATCATCAAACATATGAATAAAACTACCAAGAATAGACTGATAATACTGATGTGATGATGAAACTGGGGGGATCGACCACCCGTTTAGTTCTGTTATAACTGTCGTGAGAAAATCTGATTTTTCCCCTCAAAACTGATCAAAAGCATTCATCCTGCATGTGTCCACGAGTAACACCTTGAAGCCCTCTTTTTGCAGTCCAATTCGTAGCATGAAACATCCTTACAAGGGAACCCACTTGCCTTTCATTAGAAAATATTTAGTGTCGGCAGATGCTTCAAACATCATTTCTGACCTGCAAAAATTTCACGGTGAAAGGAAACAGTTAACATTGCAAATGCGTCACATGGTGAGAACACACCTCCTCCATCCATGTGACAGTCCACGTCCCATCGCCTGATGTTAACTGTTATCCTTGACAGGGTACCAAACTCTTGGTATATTAAATTTGTCTCGTCTGCTAATTATGACAGGCAACTCAAACACCCAGGCTTTTGAAGCAAAGTATTGCCATGCAGTGATTTTTCCACATCTCCCCTGAAGCTGGATATAGATCATGCCTGAGGACAGATCCATTCAGCCCCCCTGTCAGCTTGGCTGACTTGACAAACAAACATCCAGTGTGTCAAAACTCCCAACAGCGAAGGGCTTCTGAAAGCACAGTTTACACTCGCTAGCCTGGTGGTCTGGCTTTATGAGCAATGGTTAGTGTCATACACGCACACACAGACACGCACGCACATACAAACCTCGCTCCTCAAGACTCATGCAAGACCCCAAGGGCTGTGAAAGCAAAGAAGGGGTGACGTAACACCTCCTTGCTTTCATTGTGTTTAGCAAAGAGATGACCTTACATGACTGGAGCCGCAAGGTTATATATGTTTTCTACCAGAGGCTGACACATGAGTTGTCCTGAAGTGTTAAAAAAAAAGTCCTGTGTGCGTCAAACAAGTGCGCGTGTGCACGAACCTATCCGAGCATCCTGCACCTTTCCTGCTTTCACCGCAACGCAGCTGCGTCAACACTCGCCCCCCCAACACACTCTCTCACGTCAGTGTGTGTGTCAGAGAGGCAGAGAAATGGAGTGTGTCTATGTTATAGCAATGGACAAAAGGGGGAAGGAGGTGGTCTCCTGAGGAACTCGAGGAAGAGAAAAAAAAAAAAAAAAAAGGGGGACGAAGAAAGGGGAAGGAGAGAGATAGATATGAAGGGAGACAGAGGGGTCAGATCTGAGAGAACGTAGAGTGAGACATCTGGAAAAGAGAAAGAGTCACTGGGACGAGGAGGAAATTACAGCTGCCCAACAATGATTCATTGGGGAAAATTCTCCTCTACATCTCCCTTCTCCTCCCTTTCGTCCTCTCTACCTAACCCTCTAACCTCTCTCCCTCCGTCCTACTCCTCGCTCCTGGTGACTGATTGCCATGTGAAAAATGCATTCTAAACATTTGTAATTTTACATGTCCTGAGTACCTTCAAAGAACATTATTAAGGCCTCCGTTGATCGATACTTTGACATTCATGTGCTCCAATTTCTCCCTCTAGGGACTTGAGTATGAACAACATCAGTGAGATCCAGCCCAGAGCCTTCCATCGACTGCACCTGTTATCAGAGCTGTGAGTATCCCATCATTCAACTCACACTCAGCTAATAAACCTCAATTGTCGCAACGCACACAAGACAAGAAACAGCGATTCCCTGAACTGCTGATATACACAGACGTCAGTGATGAGGTTGATGGTTCTGGCCTTCCTCTGATCTCTCTCCTACCAGGAAACTGCCTGCAGCAATATGCTAGTAGATGCTGGGATGGCTGTACAAAAGGGGAACTGAAGGGGAACCTGATATTCACTCAGAGAGTGAATGCATGGTCCTTAAAGTATTTACAGAGCAGGTTCTGTGCTCAGCATCCAAGCCGCTGCTCTCTGGAACCTCCTTGATTTTGTTTCAGCTCGACAGCTCAGCAGGACCAGCACACGTAGACACAAACCCTTGCCAAGACAAACACACACTATAGGAGAACCTCAGGACAGCCCTGGAGAAATCGCAAAAATGTACGAGGATTTATGTTTTTCTTTTTTATAGAATTAGGCACGAGTAAAGTTAGCTATCGTTATGAATGTTTCGATATTGGTGCCATAACACAAAAATGTTAAAATACTTTTCTTGGCTGGCAACAAATACAATTTTACTTAACAAAATAAAGCTAAATAAACAACATATAATGATATTAAAACTAGGAGGAAAAAAAAAATCTATACTATGTGCCACAGATGCACTTCACAAATTCTAAAGTATCGGTTTTGTTCTCATGCAGCTCTTTGAAAACATTCGACCTCGCCAATGACTGATCTGACCACTCAGCAGAATTCAGCTCGGTTTGACAAAAGCTGCCCACAAACTCGCCCTCGGGGTGCGAATGTGTGCGCAAGTGTGTAGTGTGTTGTAATTCACGAGGGGGGCTTATGTGTGTGTGTGTGCGCGTCAGCCTTTGCATGATTATTTTACCTCTGAATCCTGCAGCGTGTCTCTCTGCGTCGGCTGTTTGAACAGTCCGCTGTTTTCTTTGCTAATTCTTGCAGCTGCAGCCTGTGAGGCATGAGCTAATGATGATGAAAGCAAAAGGTTAGCTGGATAACCGCTCGGTTCACTCCGAGTCGCGGTCGGACTGCGTCTGAACAGCAGAGCAATGAAACTTTGCGACACCTTAAAGTCAGAATATTGAATTCGAGACTTTGATTTATTCCGGTGTATCGAATTGCTGATGTGAACTTTGGCAGTCGTAAAAACGTTAAAGGTCAAATATTGCTGTTGGCGTAATAATGAGAACCACACACTACGGAGTGATGCTGAACATTGGGGCTGACATTTGTCTGCATTGGGGAAAAAGAGGGGTGGGGTGGGGGTCTTGGACGTGGCTCCACCTGCAGTGTTTGTCCAGAGACGATCCTCCCAGTGTTTTACAACCCCACTGATCTTGTTTCGTCTGTATTGCTCTCGAGTTGTGACACTTTATGGAGACATTCTGTTGCTTTGTAACTCTTCCAAGGAGGACGTTCCTGCCCTAAAGCCAAATTTTGAAAGTCTGCTGACCATTTCTGGACATGTGCTGAGACGATGATGACGTTCCAAAGGCAGGCACATCACGAGCACTTTTCTTTTCTTCTCTTTTTTTTTTTTGGAAATCTACTTCTGTCTAGGAGGTTTAGATAGATGGAGCCTAGCAGGTTATGGTAAACAGATTATAATTACAACAACTTATAGCGCTTAGAAAAGCAAACCAAGGCTCTAAACACAAACACGGTTGGTTTGAGAGAGACGGCTTTTGATGTGGGTCTGCTTGCAATGGTTGGTAGCACAGGGAGAGGCAAGGGCCAGGCGTGTTGTGACTGGTAGAGTGATAAATTGTTTGATGTTGGGCTCTACCTCGCTGCCTGCCCTCCCTCGCTCCGTCTCCCTCCCCTTCCAGTTCATTTCTACAGCCCCCCATCTCCATTTTACTGCAGGCTATTGCAAGCTGCAATCACTGCCTTTGATAGTTTTTCTACTTTTTCCTCACGTTTTTTTTTTTTTTTTTGCACTCACTACAATCTTACAAACCAAATCTGCTTATGGCAAAGAGTCCAACTTTCATCCTGTTTTACACCACAGGAAGAAGAAGAAGGGAACAATCTTATATACTTCAGAGTATCTCCTAAACGTAAATTGCATCCTGCTGCTCCTTATCTCTTTGCTCAGTTTGCAGCTCTATAGCATCAAAGTGCAAACAGTTAATCCCTTTGAACCTCAAGTGAGGTGATTAAATTAACTCACAAAGCAAGTAGCGAATCTCGCCAGGGAAAACATCCCTTTGATTCACAGCGGCATTAATATTGATAATAAGTTGTAGGTGTAATCATCCCTCCCTCCAGCCCTTTCTCTACCTTTAATTCCTTGTTTCTAAATATTCTATTGATCTCAGATTCCTCTTATTAAACCTTCATTTAACACTTTGATCAGCAAATTACCTCTTAATTCAAACACACAAACCTGCACGCAACTGTCAGTCAAACACAGCATTAAGCGAGGCGACTGGGAAGCAGACTGCGTGTCTATGAATTAATGAGAGGGCAGCAATGCCCACATCCAGGTAAAGACTCCAAACAGGTTACTCATCTACCCGGTATATCAAAGACATCCCCTCTTTTCAGACGTTCCGCTCTAATATCAAAGACGCGCTATCTATTCCCGGTCAAATTGCAGCTAAGAACTGGTAGAGGATGGGCTGAGGTGAAACTGCCCCCTAAGAAGCTCTTCCTGAAAACCACTTTAGAAGGCGGCAGTGCTTCCAGTCTATCATCATTATCAAAGTCAACGCTGTCCGTACCTCCAGAGATCGCATTTCACGTGCCTTTTTGCCTCCCCTCATAATCAGCCATTTCGGTTGAGTCTCTCCTGCTCATCTTATCATTATCTGTAACCATCATTCACCTTCTAATTATAGAGTTGAAATGAGGCAATTCATAGCAACCTGACAGGCGAAACAATCTGATTCCCTATCACTGCTGGCTTTGCCTCTTTGGATGCACAATATTGCCATCTTAAGTGAATGTGCTCAGAGTACAGTGTTATCTGCTCAAGATTGAAATTCCGATGCTGCCTTCGACAGTTTCCCCTAACTCTGGAGTATGGATCCACCCAGTCCTCTCCAGCCCTGTCAGGGTGCTGCAACTCTGTCTATAACACATATGAAATCCAAATGCAAGAGAAGTGATGAGTGGAGGCCGGTGCTGCCCTGCTTATCTTCCTCCTGGTGATAAGATTGTCTGCCGATAGGCCAGGACTATGACGTAGGTGAGGGTTAAGAGGTTACTATATTGGCTGTCTTGACGTTCCAGGTGCACCACACAGCTGGGACTGTCTAGATCCATCAAAACTTTTCTTTCTAATGTTTCCAGCATTATTTTTTTTAAGTCTGCACGTCTCTTTCTCTTCAGCCACACACATGGACAGACGCACCACGTGTCTATATTTTACTCCTGCTATTTCAGAGGTTAACTGCAGGTTAAGTGGTTGACCCTCAGGCTGGACCTGCGGGTCAACCACTTAACCAATCACATTTCTATTGATGGACCAAGGATGTAAGAGGTCATACATGCATATGTACTTACAGAAAACACTCATGCACAAATCATCCTCCGACTGATAAGACCCGTTTATTCTCTCTGCCTCCTTTCATCATCCACTGCTATCAACCGCCCCGGTCCTGCTGCCACTATGACTATCAGTACCTGAGATAGCATCCCAAAATATGATGCTGTCTTTGTTCTCCGGGTCTTTAATCTGTCATTTTGTTTATTGTTTTGAAGCAATAAGACACGGTGATACATAGGATAATCTGCAGTGGGGGTATGCTTCAGTAAAGCCCCCACTGATCAGCACCGATAGCAGGGTGGTCTCACCTTCGTTACCAGCTGCACCCTCTCCCCTGTTCTCTCCCATACGTTTGAACTACAATGGCCTTGTTTTACCTATGAATCATTTCAACAGTGCCGAATTCTTGAGGTGGAATTTTTATCTATGCGATACAGGGGCCAAGAACAATTCTAACAATCCCCAAATCAAATTAAATGAAAAAATAGTTGGAGCCACGGTTTGACAAGAGCAAGGCGCCTTTCATTACAACGAGATTGATGTGGAACGACTAGGAGTAAGTGTGGAACATTCACTCATACGTACAACCATTTACACGTACACACATAAATACACACACTGATATCATGGAAACACTTGCTCAACGGCAACTGTTTCGGTGTTCTGTTGATGTCTATCAAGAAAATTTCTTTCCTTTTTCAAACTCCATCTTCACTTTTGACATAATTATCCACTTGACAAATAAAGTCGACACTCTAATGCTGCTCTGGCTCCACTGGTGTGATTAATAGAGAAAGGCTGGGCTGGCACTAGGACGTGCACATCGTACCATTGCCTTAACTACGATGTTTGTTTTCTAAAACTTTAAATTACCGTTTTATTACGTTCTCTCGTAGAAAAGACATTTATTTTTCTTTGATGTTACCTATATCTTTTTCTCCATCCAGTGCATCTGTAACTAATCATTTGTGTTTGACCAAAAGAAGACGCTTAGGGGTCTTTGCAGAAATTTACTCGTGTCAGGACCTCAGCAAAGCCTACTGAAACAGTTTACTTCTGGAAAAGGGGCTATTGAAATTGCCCCTAGTGATGAAAACTCTCAAGCAAAAACTGAAATGGTAATAATATTAGAAATACGGACCTCTGAGGAGTAAGAGGGCAAAGATTTTGTTTTTATGAATGAAAATATGATCTAAGGGAAAGTTGGACTCTTGTATCTTACAATCGGGATGGATATTGAATTTGTAGGTGCTACGGTCCAATTCTCTGTCATATGTCTTTCATATTTGCGAGATCTCTATTAAGACATCGTGCGGTGCAGTTAATGTCTGTCTGAATGAGTTTTGACTGTGGTTTGAGAGGCACAGCTAAATGGCACCACAATAGCTTGGATGACGATCAGTCCGTTTTGTGTTCTACTACGCTGATGTGGGTGTCCGTCTGTGTGCGCCTGTGCGTGTTGATAAATACGAGCTCTCCTCGAGTTCTAAACTGAGCTAAGTGTGAGATTTGGCAGGCGTGGGCGTGGTTGTGCGGTTTGCCACTGCACAGTAATATGACTGAGACATGTTGACATGAGGATCAGATGTCAGAGGGAGTTTGCTGGGAGCCCTCGTCCATTACCATCTGGATGATAGTGGCTTGGAGAGGCAGACAGCGCTTTATACCAGTACTACAATATCCTGGCAACTTTGCCAGAAGGCAGGCTGCTTAGCATAAAGCCGAAATGTCAGGCAAAAGTCACCTATGGAGCATGGAGGAGGGTGCCAATGACTAACTTTTAACTTGTGTGTGTGTGTTTAATAAAAGTGGGTGGTCTCGAGCTGTGAAGAGCAAATCTGTGTTTAAACTGTGCTTCCAGCTTGTGACCTTGAGAGTTAGTCTGTTGGACTGAATATTATTTATTTGGACATCTTATACACACTCACAAATGACCATTAGGTGCCGTGTTTGATAAACAAACTGATTGGATTGCTTGTGTGAATGTGTGTGGTTTCTCTCCCTCGCTGTCCTCAAGGCCCCTCAGAATGGGCCCAATGTACCTCAAGGACATGGAAATTAGTGCGCGCGTTCACACGGCACACATGTGTTTGCGTGCACATATATGGTATACACCTTACAGTACACATACCCACATAAACGCACTCACATGCGCACGTATACTTCTGCGCTGCACTTGTTGACCCAGTCTCAGTCTCATTCAATTCACTTTTTACTCACTCATCAGAGCTCCCAGCATTGGTTAAAGTTTCAGGGTGTGCTTTGGGCCAATAGCAACCACACTGAAGGGAATAGAAAATTGTTATTTGCATACTGCCCCAACAGTAACCCCAAAGCAGTAACTCATATCACGACTTATTCCAAAAACGTGGAACAGAGTAAACAGCGAGACTTCTCTTGTGAGACTTGTACATTTTTATGTGATGTGATTATATTTCATTCTTTACTTTTATATTTTGCTCCGTCCCTTTTTGAAGTCCATGTTTCTCTTCTAGGCGTATCTCGGGGAATCAGCTGAGGTATATCTCGGGCCACGATCTCCAAGGTCTCAACAACCTCAAAGTTCTGTAAGTAACCTCCTCCTCCTCCCTCCCTCCCTCCCTCCCTCTCATCATGGGTTCCACTCCAAGCTTTTTTGGGGGGAAGGAGTTGTCCTCCTGCCTTGAATAAAACACACAGGCCACGCATCATTAAATGCAGTTAAAGTTTATGGACTGGGGTAGACCTGCCCTGCTTGCAGCTCCTTCATTTCTAAACAAGCCCTGTTTCTGTTGCAAGCATGCACGCACACACACACCACACACACACACACACAAGCCATCACAGGTGTAATGCAGAGACCTCCCAGTCACACCACCCACCGAGATTACAGCAAGTGACAGAAAAATTCACTTAAGAGCCCCATTCAAAGCTGTTCTCTTAACACCCCATTTCTCATACTGTGTTCATAGCCTTATGATCCATGGCCACCAACTGCTAGAGCTGCCGTGAAGTATTAAATCACGAAAAAGTGCAAAGCAGCCGTAAAAACCATAGTACCTTCTGACTTGGGAGTGCGGCATCTAATGAGTTGTGGCCATCTTTCTAGTGGGTGCAAGACAAGGGTTTTAAGGAGATTTTCATGAGCACTGGCAACTAACTCAATTCCTTTTGGACCCTGGCTGAGAAGAGTTTGAAAAGCAATGCCATAGAATATAAACTTAGCTTGCAAACTGTGGTTTGTAATTTGAGGGAATCTGGGGAATTACCAGGCACACAAGTTGATTTTCTTTCACCTTGCATTGTGAAACTCACCGAGACAGAATGAAGGAACCGGCCAGGAATCTTAGGATATTATGTCATTATTGCGGAAGGACACACATATCCTGAATTAATACACGTCTTGAAAGCATTCAAGCTTCACACTATAACACCATAGCAAACCTTGGATGGTCTCTTTGACCTCAGAGCAGCTGAGCTGTTCGTTTCCTTTCTTAATATATTAGTGAAAGTCAGGCCGTGTCAAACACAAATACACCGCTGACCTTGCGCAGGGTAACCGCAAGGTCCCTGCTGACTGTCTCTTACACACATACACACACACATACATACATACACACACACACACAGAAGGTTACGAACCCATAGTGTAGTACAGCACAGCCCCCTGTGGGGAATTTCTTTGAAACAGGAAAAGACTCAATTCAGTGTATTTATCATGGCATCATCATCCCAGTGGAAACATTCCCCTATTCCTTTTAAAACTAAGCTGTACTTCTTTTGCAGTAAAGCAGTCATGGAAGTCTATTGTGAAATATGCTACACTCAAAAAGCATGTGACACATTGAGTTGTGTCAATAAATATAGAAAAGTATGCTTTTTACATCTTGAGCCATCCAGAATGCACTACGGTATGCTCTCCTTTGACTCATAGCTAAATAGATCTGCATCATACATGCCAGAAGAGGCCTTAAAGTTACCTTATAACTTGCAAAAAAAAAAAAAAGGCTCAAGATTAATATATGATATAACCATTATTTGAGGCTCAGATTTTTAACTGCTATTGTAATACAAGACACTCACAGACTCTCAGTCAGGGACTATTGTGGCACCATGATGTCACATACCGGCACTGCTGCGCGACACATTGGAGACTTTACGCCGTTCATTTCTGTCGACTGCTCATGATAAAAAACTTATAGCGGGAGAAAGATAGAGAAAGCGAGGGAGGGCCAGGAAAGAGAGAGCGCTATTGTTTGCTCCCCACTTCCTCCTCGTTTTTTTTTTTTTTTTTTGCTCCATTCTTCTGAGAATGACATCAGCAGCCCACCCAAGGAGGTTCTCTTTCTCTTTTCCTCTACCCTTCATTCTCTGCTTCTCCTCAAGCTTGCACTGGCCCTTTCCTCCTTGTGTCAGATTTCCCTCGCTACGGAATTATTTGTTCTGCCTGATGTGCACACACACACACACACACAGACACACACATGCACTAAATACACTAAATCAGCTATAGACATGATACCTACATAACTGCATAATCTGTGTGTGCCTGTCAGGATGCTGCAAAACAACCAACTGGAGAGACTTCCTGACGATGCTCCCTGGGACCTACCCAACCTCCTGTCCTTGTGAGTCTTTCTCTCTGCACACACTAATCATGCTTTTCCACCTCATCCAGCACGGCGAATGAAACATCCCCCTGGCCACCCACGCATCTCGGCTCCAACCGCAAGCGCAGGTATAGAGTACCACTGACAAATTACAGACCGTACCCCGGTGCTGGCTGCAATAGTTCTGCGTTGGGCTCTGCAGTGCCTGACGGCGGGAGTCACAGCCTCATTGTGTCAGCGCAGTTCATGGTAGCATCTGGAAGCCATGAGGGAAACAGCAGACACTGCAGGCCAGGGAGAGCATCTCCAATGAGCTGTGAAACAACCCCATTTTCCATCAATTCCTCCCTCCCACCCCTCTCCCTCTTCCTCCTCCACCCCCCTAACTCCTCCGTTCATCTCCCCACCACCCACACTGCTATCCCCCTGGCTAATGAGAGTGTTTGGTGGCTTAATTGTCTAATCTGTAAGGTCAGCCTGCATGTGTGTGTGTGTGTGTGTGTGTGTGTGTGATAGTATGCATGTGGACCACCTCATCTATAATTCCTCACCCCCATCAACTTTCTACCGCACACATACTCCCCATCTCTGCTTTCCAAATTAATCTGTGCAAATATTCATAAAGCCATTTCCTCCATCATACAGACGCAATCAAATTGCTGGAGTTGTAACATATGAGGGTGGTGGTGGTGGGGGGGGGGCACGCACACATGTACCTCCTCTACCACCAACAACGTTTTCCCCCTGTGTCTGGTATAAAGCAGGCCCGCCCTCCCTCAATACAAGCCTGCAGACACACACACAAATGTACACACACATACTGTACATACAGGCTGTCCTTGTGTGAGTACGTGCTGTCACATATGATGTCTGTCTGTCTTCAGTTTGTGTGTGTGTTGTGAGCACAAGCGCGTGTGTGTGGTCTTCTCCCAAATTTTTCAGATAGAGATCGTCTCAAGTAATGAAAAACACGCACACACACACACACACACACACTGACACACTCACACACAGAGCCAGTGTATAGAGACGCACCTTGTCATTATAGTAATGATAAGCTCAGCGGAGAAAGATTACTGGAAAGGCTTTGGAGAGTGAAGCTTGTCGGCGCCTCTCATCGACATAAAACACACCAGGTAAAAAAGAAAAGGAGAGACGGCAACTGAGTCAGCGCATGGATTTAAAAAGCGGTACAAATGTATAAAGGAGGCTTTCATCCAAAATAAATCACGACTTAATCTCAGACGAGAATCCTTTTGTCAGCAGAGCAACTGATTCGAGAAATTTGTCTCACCGTTCAGGTAATTGCAGCACACAGTGCGACTGCTGTTGTTTAGCTTGGTCGTAAGCAGACTTGTTTTGGGTCCCAGCCTGCAGGTTAAATCGTGTAATCACAGCTTTAAATCAGAGCATCCCTGTCTTTTTTTTTTTAAAGTTTTACTCCACGGCAGTGAAAACGTGCTCCTCCGAGTTCCCTGTTGTGTAAAATTTGGGGCCATCTGGAGAAATGAACCAGCGCAGGCAGGTCCCCAGATCTCCTGGATCACTTAAGAGATCGTTCTTTTTCTGTCTCCGCTTCTCACTCCTGTAATCGTACGTCAGACTTTGATGTGATGGACAGGAAATAGTCTGCTTTATTGGCTTCTGTGGAACATTCCTGGTTCTGCCTGGGCCTTCTACAGACCTGGCAGGTCCACCCTCAGGAGCAATTATTATTTTGCCCTGGAGAACAACTCAGAAAGTTGAAGGGCCTTCCGCAGCTTTCATCCTGTGATTTGGGTCAGGGACAAACAATGTCCACAGTTGGAGCGCACAGGATGCGCGAGGAATGATGTTTGGTTCTGTGTTTAAAAAAAAAAAAAAAAAAAAGTGTTCTCAGGAAGTAGACACGATAAAAAATTTCTTGAAGCTGTCTGTGTCACATTCGCGAGTATTTACATATCTGCTGGAGGGTGTCTCTGTGTGTGAGCATCTGCCAGTGTATACAGTTGCTCTCCTGATGGAAAATTTCCCTGGGGAGAAAAGTCCAGAGTTCAGAGTTCAAGTTCAGATTTCACTTTGATGATGCTCTTTGTTTGGTGAAACCTCAGAGGGGCGAGGAGGAGCTGCAGTGCGAGAATCAAAGAACCTCGGCGGAAGATTGATAAGGGAGGATGTTTGAAAGACGAACAAGAGTTAAGGACTGAGATGCAGAGGGGTTTACGGCGGCTACGAGTGAATCAATGAAGATGTAAGAAACAAAATGTGAGTGTGAGAGAGGCCGGAGGGAGGAAAATGAGATTAATGACCTAGTGTGAAGGGCCAAAGAAAGAAGAATAGCAAGAGGAAGTGGTCTCAGCTTGTCAAGTCTGCCCTGAGGGGATCATTCATCACTATCGACAGCGTGTATGCATGTGTGTATTTACGTGTGGGGTGTGTGTCCGTACTTATTGCCTGTGGGTTTAGGGCGCTGAGGGAGAGAGGGGACAAAGGTTTGTTAGGTTCTGGAGAGATGAAAGTGCATGTGTTAGAGTGGATGTGTGTGTCTCCACCGTCATAGCTTCATTAGCCCAAAGAAGTTGTGTTTGCGTCTGAGTGGTGGAAACATCGGGGACCGATAGTGACAGAGACACTGCAACGGAAAGAATGAAGCGAGGAGGAAGAGCTGAAGATGCGTCTTTAACTGTTCCTTCTTCTGTCTTTTGCCTTTTTTTTCCTCCCCAGACAGTCAGGAAAGAAAGCTTTACACAACACGAGCAAGATGAGGACGAATAAAACAGGCTCGCCTCAGTCGTTCCTGCATGTTTTTCTCATCTTACGTTTTATACATGTCTGTGCTGGTGAAGCTTGACATGGCTTATTTAGCATGGGTATAAATCATAATGAGCAACTTCTAACAAGGTGCAGCAAAGATGAAAGAAGGAGAATAAAGGATGTGTAATTCTTATAATAACCTTCCTGTAAGCCAAAGCGTTTCAATGCCACGACACACAACCCCTAATGCACACATAAGCACAGACGCACAGAAGCGAGCACGCTGTACTTAGACGTGGTGATTATCTCGCTAAGCTCAGTTCCTCTCACCCCTGCAGGCGTCTCGACGCTAACCTGTTGTCTGAGGTTCCAGCCGAGGCCTTCAGAGGCGTTCGCTCCCTGAGACACCTGTGGCTGGATGACAACTCCCTAACAGAGATCCCGGTGATGGCCCTGGACTCTCTGCCCTCGCTGCAGGCCATGACGCTGGCCCTTAACCAGATCACACACATCCCAGATTACGCATTTACCAACCTCTCCGCCCTCGTCGTACTGTAAGTGACATCTTGATTTGTTTACTTAGAACTGGAGTCTGGGTTTCTCAGCTTACCAGAGAAATTATTTGTTCCACTGACTTGGGTCAGTAATGACTGCAGTGTGGAAACGTTTTTGAGAAAGTAATTTCTGATTTGTTGAAAAATATTTATGGCCTTTTTCCAGGCATCTCCATAACAACCACATCCAGACCATGGGCTCAAGATGTTTTGAAGGTTTACACAGTCTGGAGACACTGTGAGTATCTCACACGTACACACAATCGCACACACATGCTTTTTAACAGTGGCTACTTTAAGAAAATATACTTTTCACAGTCTTACACATGCACAAACTCACATGCACGCAACGTGAAGTGATTTCATTCCTCAATGAATACCTCCTTGTTTCCCCAAACACTGATGGAAGCTTAGTGATAACAAAGTATCAGCAAGTATCAACATTCATTTGGTATAGCAGTGTTTACAGCAATCACATTGCCTTAGAATAACCCTAGGATGCATGAAGAAGTACCTGACATATAATCTCAGCGGTAATACGACCAAGAACCATCAATTCACTCACATTGTGTGTCTGACTACAGCCTTGTTTTTTTTTTGTCTGAGTAAAGGTGATTGATGTTACTTGGAAGGCTAAAATTAATGTGTTTTTATAAATCATATGCAACAAGTGTGCCAAAACAATAATATAGTGTAGCGCTAAATTGTAGTCATAATGATTAATGTCCTGGTAATTTCAGCAGGTGCTTGTACGTTTCTCAAAACCACAACGAACAAATGAACGACAGGAATGCGAAGATGAAAAGATCCTTTTTGATTACTTTGAAGTATCGTCAACAGATTCCTCCGTGTTTTGTATAAATAATCGCCAAGCAGTGCTAAGGTCAAGTAAAGCGCAAGCGCGGCTACAGGAAAGTTTTGCGAGAGTACGTGCCGTAGCTTCGATAACTCCATCACAACCACGCACCAATATGCACGAACACCGCCACACAGTCTCATGGAGGAGGTGGAGAAAGAAAGCGAGAGAGATTGCAACTGCGTCTCCTGCAAAATTCATGGTGGTCTGATGAAAACGCTGTTTCTGGCATGCCGCTTAACAACCTGTTGAAGTGTAAAAAAATTATGCGTTCCTTTTTATGAGCACGTGTGTGGGCACATGCATGTGTGCGTAGAAAAAGCGAGCACTTCTTGCCTGTGCAATCATAAGCGTACGGCTAGCTTTACACTCAACTTAAAAGCCATTATCCATGCTGGGAAATGTGGGGAAACATGGTGTAAGTCAGGGAAGCCACGGTTTAGGGGATGAAGGGGAAACTAGAGAATGTGAAAAAGAGGGATGAAGCTCTCTGGACCAGAATAGTGTGTGTTAAAGTGTTTGGGCCGTCAGCGGTGGGGAGAGACAGATGATTCAGCGGGATAAGATGACAGGTGTCATTGACGTGGGGATTGTGCTGGTATGAGGGGTTAATCTCTCACAGAGGCCTTGCTTATGAGAAATACGAGAGACCATCTGCATCACCACCACCCTCCCCAACCCCTAGCGTGTATTATAAAATCATTACTACGTGGAGTCGTCCAGGGGCCTGCTGGAAAACGCAACGGCGTATGCAAACAAGACTGAACAGTCGCAGACAGACAAACATTTCAGAACAGCCAGCGAAAAACATACACAGTAGTCTCAAAGTGCATCATCAAGCGGCATCTGGAGTATTGAGAATCGGCAACGGCAGCATATACATGCACACATGTCCTGGTATATGTTTTAACATAGCAAAGCACACACTTGTACGCAAGCAGACGCATGCACACGAGCACATCTACAGAATATACTCACATACCGGCAAGAAATACAGTAAAGCCCCTTTTCCTGCCACCTGCACATAAACTGTAGCAATGATTGTTTTCATACAGTGTTTCCTAGAAAGCCAATGAGACCAAGACCTTAATATTCAGGTCAGAGCAGCAAAGGTCAAAGGTCACACTCAAACTTCAGTCTACAGCTGTCTGTCTCTATGCATGCATATCCAATCAGATGCACACACAGATTAAGATTTTCATTGCAGGGACTTTAAACCTCCGTTAAGTCATCAACTGAACAAACTTTTTTAATAATAACACTCTCTCTCTCGCAGGGATTTAAACTACAATGATCTGCAGGAGTTCCCCGTGGCCATCAGGACACTGAGCAAACTTCAGGAACTGTGAGTCCACACGCGCACGCACATACACGGAAACACACCTGCCTGACATGACTATCATGGTTGCGTTATCCCAAGTAATCCCGTTAAGTGATTTTAATGTGGCACTCGGATACAATCTCTCTCGCCCTAAGCAGGTGCTGGCTACACACCCACGCAGCCGCTCGCTGCACGTACACACAGATGCGCGCGCACGCACACACAAGCCATGTTTTCCCTCGACTTCAGCAGATGTTCTGCAGCGTGCATATGTGTCACAGATACAGCGTATGTGTGCGTGTTTACATCTCATGTATCCCAAAATGTTTTTCAGCTGTGCAATGGCAGGTGCAACATGAGGACATATGACTTGCCTCTTGCTCGCAAACACGCTCCGTCACTCCTGCACACACACACTCACAAAATCAGAAACATATTGATAGACGGATTTGACTAACAGTATGTTTTTATATTTGCAGGGGCTTTCATAACAACAATATCAAAGCCATCCCTGAGAGGGCCTTTGTGGGAAACCCTCAGCTCCAAACCATGTGAGCTTAACGCTTATCCTTGTTGCTACACTGTGCACATATTAGATAAACACGCAACTAAAATTACATGTCAGCGTCAGGCACAACACAACAACCATTAATCAGCACTCGTCTGAAATGTTTTTTCTCTCTTTTTCTTGCAGCCACTTCTACGAGAACCCCATCCAGTTTGTGGGAAAATCTGCTTTCCAGTTCTTACCTAAGTTGCACACGCTGTAAGTATGCGGTCAGTAGAAACCATTCCAGTGAGTTAGCCCAAACACTGTTTAAATCATCCTCTGTCCCTTGCAGTGAGAGTTGAGTGGACATGTGTAATGGCCTACTGAATGATGTTGTGTTAGCGTATTGCTGCGCTGTGTGCTGATGTGGTAAGAGAGAGTATGTTGTAAGAACATGTTGAATGGTGTGACTTATGATGTCTAGTGAGACAGCCAAAACAGCCTGTGTTGATGTTGGAGGAGAAGTTTGATGGTTGAAATGAGCTGTTAGACAAGGTCTGTGTACACGCATGTGTGTGTAAGTGAAGGGGGGAGAGAGAGAGAGAGAGAGAGAGAGAGAGAGAGAGAGAGAGCAAGCAAGAGAGAGAGACAGTTGTCTGATACTTTTTTCCTTGTTTGACTGCAGTTCTCTTAACGGGGCAACCCAGATTCAAGAGTTCCCTGATCTGAAAGGAACAACCAGCCTGGAAATTTTGTGAGTGTCTCCTGTAACCCCCGCTTCCACCTCCACCTCCAGACACACAAACACACATAAATATAAATAGCACATTTCACTGAGAGGCTTCACAAAATATAGCAACAAAGAATGCGAAAAGCCACCGAGGACGGAGATACAATCCCAGGAGCCAATATACTATCTGAGAGGGGGAAAAAAAAAAGTGGAGCGAGATAAGACTCACACAAAGCAAGCTGAAACAAAAAGAGAGAATGTGTGTGTTTTAGGATTCTAGGAGAGACAGGGAACGAACAGGAGACTCGCAGAAGGATTGGGAGGGGCAGGCTAGTTATGCCAGTCAGTGACAGGTTTGGCGAACCTACACAGCTGCCTGTCTGACCAAGTTAGACTCACAGGACTGGGGGATCCTTTCGCTTGCTTGCACTTCGACAATGATCAGAGGATCCTTTTTTTTCTCTATAGGACGCTGACTCGAGCTGGTCTCTCAGCTCTCCCTCTGGATCTATGTGAGCAGCTGCCTCGCCTTAGGGTGCTGTGAGTACACACACACACACGCATGGGGAGAGAGTGAGAGGTATAAAAAGTGATACACAAAACCCAACAGTGGAGAGCTGTGCCCCCGAGCAATCACTCATACAATCACTTCTCTATGAAATCCAATCACCCGCCCCCCAAAAAATTAATGTCCTGTGTATCGCCTTGCTCACAGAGCTGACACTCAAATAATCCTGTCACCCCCATAATTTCCCACACTATAAATCCACAGCTGGTCACTGTGTTTATGTGCGCTTTGTGTTCTGTTGCAGGGAGCTATCATACAACCAGATAGAGGATCTGCCCAGCTTTTACCACTGCTCAGCATTGCAAGAGATGTGAGTACTTTGACTAGCCAACATAATCACACACTTGTGCATGAGAATTTGTTTACTTCTGCCCATTTTTGCATTGTATATACGTAAATCTATGTACTTTTCTCAACAGAGGGCTACAACATAACCAAATCAGACGGGTAGAGTCAAGCACCTTCCATCAGCTCACTTCACTAAGAGCACTGTGAGTCAACTTTTGCTCATTTTCTCCCACATGTCGCATTATTATTTTCTTTGAAATCCATTGTCTGGATCAGTGGTTCCCAACATCATCAGGACCCGGCAAAGGAGTCACAAGATGTACGTGTATGAGCGATTTCATCAACTGGATTGCTGGAAAGAAAAGCAAAACATAGTTCTGTTATACAAAATTTGCTTTATCTCCGAGCCTTTGTTCTTATGAATTATGACAGTTTGACCTTGTTGTAGCTCAAAATATATTTAATTGAAGCAATATGTGGAGGAGACAAAAAAACAAAACAAAACTCGTAACATGATGAGGTGTTAGAAGAAGACACTGATTCATTTTAAGGAGTCGTAGCCAAGAAAGTTGGGAATCACTGATTACAATCAAACTATATAGATTTCTGACTTATGACTGACATCTAGTGGTAATATACAACACTAAGAGACGTATACAATTTGGAGCTATTTCATCCTCTCACTCAATTTCAGTTCACCTTGATTCTTTTTTTTCATCTGACAGTGACCTTAGCTGGAACATAATCGAGTGGATCCACCCAGATGCCTTTGCCTCACTTCACTCTTTGATCAAACTGTGAGTAAACACAGATACACAGCAGTCACTAAAACTTTTCTACCTCTCATCTGCTACTTCTGCAGTGTCACTCTTCTCACGTAAAAGGCATGCAAAATTTATTTATCTTTAATTAAAGTGAAGTGGTATGTCAAAGCCCTGGGCTTACACAAACACTCCATACTTGACTTCGTATGCCACACAAAACCTATCGTTTTTGGCTGAGTTTGCAGAGAACGTTGAAACGCATTTATTGTTTGAAAAACCCGTCTGTGTGGCCAGAGCCACATCTCAGGTCATGCCAATAAAAAAATTGCTTCATTGTGCGAAGACTGGTTGACGTTTGCCTAGCTAAACAAGCAGATACTCCACATCTGACAGAGACTATTATCTGGGGGTGGGGAATTTGATCGTTCTTTGAACAGTTTTAAATATCAAAGAGACAAAGTGTTTTTGTTACCGAGGACGACCTTCGGCAATATCTGAAATAAAAACACATTTTGCAAACGTCAGCTTGATCTGACACCCGTCGCCTTCTGTTTCTTCCCCAATTTCTTTCTATGTTTATCTCAGGGACCTGACTGAGAACCATCTCAGCTCAGTACCAGTTGCAGGTTTGGGCGGTCTCACCCATCTCAAGCTGAGGGGGAACACAGAGCTATACGAGGCCTTCAGTCCCGATCACTTCCCCCATATGAGGTAACATACAAACACACTATTTAGAATCATCCAATGCTTTCTTGATTAATATTGTCTCCCATATGTTCTTTCATATTTTGCTTTTTCAACCTGTTTTGAATGACAGCATTTAGGATACACTTGGGAGTGTAATGAACAATGCATCCTTTCCTTTTCTTCCTCTGGCAATTTTCTATTAATATTGTTAATTTACCAACACCAGCCAAGTCTGACAATCGAGTAATTACATTATACCCCCTCAAGCCTTTCCTGAGCTGAACTACAACAATGAGCAAACATTTGTAACAGCAAGTTAGCTCTTGTTACAAAGATCCCTTAGGGTGCAGTGAAGCAAAAATGAAGAGAGTGTTTCACAGACAATGGAGATGGCATGTGATCAATTTTCAATGTCAGCATTGCTGTAGAGCATTGGCCAAAACAGAATTGTGGCAGAAAACCATTTCAAAAGCACTCTTGAGGTACAGTAAATGTTTCCATAACAAAGTTGGCTTATCCAGCTTCAGAAAAATACACGTTTCACTTTCATTTTTCCTAAAGATGACTCTCTGTATTCATTAAAGAATACAGTCTCTGTGAAAAAATTTTTTCCCCCCCCAGATGTTTCGCCATTTAATTGCATTTCAACCTTGAATCATGCTCAGTTTAATTTGGCATTTTGACAAGAATTTACAAAAACAACTACAAAGTAATGGCAATCTATTCAGATTTTATAACGTAAAGTAAGTGATTGCATATGTATTCTCCCCCTTTAAAGTGATCCACTTTATTCAACACAGGTGCGGCCAACTTGTGCCAGAAGTCACGTAATTAGTGAGATGGAGATCATCTGAGTGCAGTGATTGTGTCTCAAATGACTGTAGTATAAAGACACCTGTATCTTGGTTGTTCACCAATCAAAGTTTAATAGGAAAGTGGCACAAAACCTCATATTAAACCTCAACTAGAGTTCACCAGAAGGCATGTGTGAGACCGAAGAGAACTAGAAGAAATTTTTTTGATAGAAGTATAATTATGCTTTTTGGCCATTAGACTAGAAGCTATATTTGGTGAACACCAAATATTGCATATCATGAGCATCATGATGTGGGGATGCTTCTCGGCAGAAGGCCTTACGGGGCTTCTAAAAGTAGAAGGTAAAACGACTGAAGCTAAGTATAGAAAAATCCTGGAAAATAAGCTGAAGCAGTCTGCAAGAGAACTGCATGACAATGACCCGAAGCAAACAGCCAAAATTACACGAAACGGTTTAAAGACAGCCCTGTGATAGACTGGCAACCTGTCCAGGGTGTCCCCTGCCTTCGTCCGAAGTCGGCTCGGATAGGCTCCAGCTCCCCCGTGACCCTAGTGAGGATTAAGCGGTGTGTAGATGATGGATGGTTTAAAGACAACAAGATGAATGTCAGAGCTGTGACCTCAGTCATTTGGGAATTTGTGCCTGGACTTAACAAGGGCCGTTCACTCATGATCCCTGTTTAGCTTGAGCAGTTTTACAAAGAACAGTCTAAAAAACATTGCACTGTACAGGTGTGCAGGGCTGACTGAGATATAGCCACATAGGCTCAGCGATGTAATTGCAGACTTGAAGGGTGCAAATACTTACACAATCACTTATTTTACATATTAGGGTTTTTTTTAACAAACTGATACAACATTGTAGAAATCTGCTTTCAATTAAGAGTCTCTTTTTTTTGTAAATTCTTGTTATTGTGACCTTGATGCAACGTTAAAAAGCAATAAAAGGGGGAAACTTCCATGGGGGTGAATGCCTTTTATTTGCACTGTAGATTCTCCTTTTCCCCCAAATCTGTCTCTTAAAGTACTTGCAAACAATAAAACTTTGTGTTTGCTGTTGTCGTTCTCTGTGATGTGTTGTCAACACTTGAAAGCACCTAAGAAAAAAAATGTTCAAATGACTAGTATTAAACTATCCTGCAACAGAAAGCACTTGAAGGTCTTTTGTTTTTTCAAAACAGTTCACAATTGTACCTAAAAGCCATTTAGAGAATGCTCAATCACGAACTTCAATCGAGTTTAGCAGTTTTTTTCTTTTATTTTCTTGCATACTTGTTTATACTACCTGCTGTGGTTTTTTCTGATGTTTTGTCGACACTGTTCCCGTCTGTTTGGCACAGGGTGATAGAGATGCCTTACGCCTACCAGTGCTGCGTATACGGTTCCTGTGATAACTACAAACCAGCCAGTCAGTGGGACACCGAACAGAGCAACACTAACGAAGATCTACACAAGAGGACCGTGGCCATGTACCCCATCCACGGTGACACGCACTGTAAGACAGCTCGTACTCACAATATCTGCAAATGCACAGTACACATGGCGCACACGCGGAACGTAATAGATGGAAATCTGAGCCTAGCCCCATATGTCAGTGTTTAAACTTCCATGTTGGCTCTTCCAACGTTCCTGTGGCTGGCATAAAATATAAACACAAATAAACCAAAATTAGGCTGAAATTAAAACCACTTAACCTACACCATTAAAGCTGAAAATAAACAATTGCTGAGTGCACAAAAAAAGATAATAACAACAAAAGATGATTAAACCATGACATGACACTGATTAAAATTTATTCACCTTTAATTGTTAGAAAAACATGTTGATAATTAACTGAAAGTGCCAGTTAGCTTCAAGAAATATTTTCTCTGTCTACAAAAGCTCCCCTCCTTTCACAATTGCAAAAACTCCCTACAGCGAGTGCTAGAAATAATCTACCATGTGTATACACATGCAGAATAAACTATCAGGGCGCCGCACACAAGCATGTTACACAACAGAATTGGATCTGAATTTCAACCCCATCGATGCTTTCTTCCAGATGACCCTGACCTGGAGGAATTTCAGCTAGAAATAGAAGAATCCAAGCTACAGACCAGTGTCCAGTGCACACCCACACCTGGTAATGCAAATTCCACCTGTCCTGCTGTGATATAGCTGTCATTTAGTTGTGACAAGGTTAAAGAAAACTGAGGCATGACTTCACCATTTACACTTGAACTTTTTAGTTGATCAGTTGTGCATTTGTGTTGTTGCAGGTCCTTTCCGTCCCTGCGACTCCCTGTTGGGAAGCTGGCTGGTTCGTGTTGGCTTGTGGTCCATCTCCCTGGTGTCTCTGCTGGGGAACTCCATCCTGCTTCTGTCCCTCTTTGGCTCGCCTGGCTACCTGTCGCCGCTTCGCTTCACTGTGGCTTGCATGGGTGCTTCCAATCTGCTGACGGGCGTGTGCACATGCACGCTGGCCCTGGTGGACGCTCTTACGCTGGGAGAATTCGGTCACCACGGCGCCCGCTGGGAGGGAGGTCCTGGTTGTCAGGCGACAGGATGGGTCTGGGTGTTTGCCTCTGAGGCGAGTGTGTTGCTGCTGACTCTCGCGGCAGTGCAGTGCGGTGTGAGCGTGACGTGCGCCCGGGCCTACGGGAAATCCCCGTCTCTCGGGAGCGTGCGCACATGTGCACTTTTCTGCCTCACTCTTTCCCTCACACTTGCTTCTCTACCGCTGGTTGGAGTCGGAGAGTATGGGTCCTCGCCTTTTTGCCTTCCCTCGCCCCTGCCACCCCCATCTTCTCGACTACCATCCTCCCTGGCCTTTCCCTTGTCGCTCATTATGATGAACACCCTGTGCTTGCTTATAGTCACAGGTTCATATATCCGACTCTACTGGGAGTTACTTAGAGGAGAGTGTGAGGGCCTGTGGGACTGTGCTATGATCAAACATGTCGCCTGGCTAATATTCACCAATGGACTCCTCTATGTACCAGTAGCTTTCCTCTCCCTTTGCTCTCTTCTGGGTCTCCTCTCTCTGGGGGAGGAGGTGCTAAAATCAGTCCTTTTGCTTCTCCAGCCCTTGCCTGCCTGCCTCAACCCTCTCCTTTTCCTTCTTTTCACAAGAGACTACTCTCAGTTTTTCTTCTGGCCTCGCCCCAAAGCACGTCCACAGCTACGCCGGGACCGCACCCTGGACTCGTTGGTTTCTGTGGAGACAGAGAAGAGCTCCTGCTCCGATTCGTCAACGCAGGTGTCACTCACTGATGCTGACGCCACGTACAGTGGGGGGTCTTCCCTCCAACCACGACTGGATCCCATCAGATTTTCCCACTGCTCCTCCACTTCCTCTGTTCCTCTCATCCCTTGCCAAATACCAACTCTCACTGCCAGAGATCGAGAGAGGGTGACAGAATGAGGGAGCCTGAATGACGATGAATGTCTGGAGAGTTTGGATCGAGATGTGATTCGCAACACTTGCCCTCTGTATCACTCTAACATGACTCGCTCTCTCTCACCTCTCACCCATGAGCCTCCAAGCTAGCTGTCTGAAAAGCTGGGACACTAGGGACATTTAAGGACCATCATCGTACTGCAGCAGCAAGACCACCTCTGGGTTATCAGTCTTTAAGCTCCTCAGAATGAGTCAACACAGAAACTGTTAAGGACTATAGAGAAGTTGATGAGAAAACAACAGGAGCCTCTGAAATTGTGGAGTGGGATTGAAAGTTCCTTTCACAGAAAAGACTATTCAAGGAAACACCACTACTGTTGAAATAAAAAGGACAGTTTCAGACACAATCCAGTGGACTGTGTCAATCATGGACTTGAATGACAAAGAGAAAACTCAAACTACATGGAAAAATCTAAGCATCAGACAAATCAGTGGATTAGCCAAGGGGAAATTAGGTAGCACCAGTAGAATTTAAAGTGTAAATGTTTATACTGAAATGTGATCAAGAGAAATGCAACTTAGAAGTTACAGATTGTTTGGTTATATTTTAAGTGGAGTTATAATTTGTTTTTTAAAAAATATATAAAGTCTATCCTATTGCTAAGGTCTGTTTCAACAAAAAAGGGACTCATCGTCACACACACCAGGCTATTTTAGCATTGTAAGCTAACAATGTTCATCCACAGAAACATTAAGGTCAGATGTTGTATTTTGCAACTATGTGATACAACAGCTGTTACAGAAATGCTATTCTCTATGTGGCAGCAAAATGCAAGAGGAAAACGAGTCATACTCACGGCTTCATATGGTTTACATGGACTGGTCTCAAATATGCAACTCTGCCTGACAGGATGCAAGCAGTCAAACAGACTAAATGGGATGTAGCTATCTTTCTACAGACTTTAGAGTAGGCTAGCGATATGTACATACAATGTAACTACCTCTGAACTAGCATGGTATTGACTCACTACAGCCTTATGAGGTTTGTCTCTCTTTTTATAAACAGCAAATATATAATTTTATATATTAAGAAATAAATCCTTAGTTTGTAAAGAAAAAAAAAATTGTACCATTTAGGATGTACATACTTTGTATACAACTGGTAAGCATATGTTTGAATAAAATTATCATCTTCATACTGTATTTACATTAAGTACTTTGCCTATGCTACTGTTCTGAAACGCACCTCTTCACTACACGAAAAGTCAAGGCACTGTGGATAATACATTATTAAACTTAAACTTTAATATCACAACATAAACATACGTATACACATAAATATGTAGATTTTAAAATCCACCTATCCATTCATATACATCATAAATGGAAGATGGTATTAGCACTACATAAAAAAAAAATAAAATCAGTCTCTAAAAGTTGTGAAGTATATAAGGCATGGTGGTTCGTGTGGAGCGATACCTGCAGCTCTAACAAGTGAGGTGGAAACTACACACAGGTTCTCTTTGCTGGCTCTTCTGCCTCCTTCTGTGCATTGAGCGCCTCTCGTTTTCGGGACGATGCTTTCTGATCTTGATCATTTTCTTTGTTGTCCTCCACAACTCCCTGAACAAAGACAGATGGAGACTTTAAGGCGACCACATCAATACCTACCTGCACTACTCCACATTCTAAAATGAAAAAGTATGAAATGTGAATGAATACATGTTGTATGTGTTGCAAGTAAATGTTTATTTTATTTTATTTCTTCCAAAGGAGCACAGCACAACCTTGTGGGTCAAATAAGCCACTGCACACAACCTTATACAATGATAGCGAGTATGGCACTGTGAGGCAAGTGGCAATAATTATGCCATTAACTAAGAATAATAATGACTAACTAATAAAGAAGTCAACACATGAGGGTATTACAAAACTTAAAGAGAAAAACTGCTTGAATCAAGAATGAAAGTGCATCACCTACAGACCAGAGCGACTTACAGTGTTCTTCTGAACAGCATGTTCCTGTGTCCACTTCCTGGCCTTCTCCATGAACAGGTGTTTGTTGTATTTGAACTCTGATGACTACATAAAACAAAAAAAAAGTAAGCATTGTGTAACAGGCAAATGGGGTGGGGTCACACAGTTTTTTAACTGTTTTACAATACATATCCTATCTAATGCAATTTTAAAACAGCAAGAGGCAGATTTTGTCTGCCGAGGGGTACATCAGACTGATATCTATCAGTTATTCTAGCATTTAGCAAAGCCTGTACTTTCAATAAAAAGGCAAACCAGAAAGAGAATTACATTTTTTTCCACGTTCAAATTTAATTAATTGTAAGTGTAGAATTAATTAGTTCTCAGTCATTCTATTTTCTCAGCTGTTTTTGATGAAGCTCTATTGTCCCATATTTACATTGGGATAACAAAAATCAGTGAAAACAAATTAAGTCACCAAAGTGTGATTGTGTACTAAAGTTATTCTTCGCTAACTGATTATATGACATGTGGTGGACCACAGACTGTACATTACGGATGGATGAAGCGACCAGTGATAAGGTGGCAACCTGTCAATCACAAGATAGCCCCGCCTTATATCATACCCAGCGTAAATGTCTATTTTACAGTAAATGGGATCATAATTTACAAAATGGACAACGTTTTGAATTGAGTTGACACTATAAACACATTGGGAAAATGTTGACTGGGGCTGACAGACCAAGTGAGAAGTTGGGTTGTTTTTTTTTTAAAGACTTCTATATAATCTGACTTTATTTCGCAAAAAGAAGAGTCTCCCCTGCTGGCCATAAGTAATAATGTAGGTGTAACGCACTTAGACATTAGCTTCACTTTACTGATCCAGAGGCCATCTTTAAGGCACAGTCTGTGTGGTGGATAAAAAATTACGTGCGACTTACTATATCAGCCATAAGTGGGTCGTCTGGATTGGGCTCAGCCATCAGCAGCTGAATGGAAGTGAGAACTGTGGAGATGTTTAAAGATGGCCTCCAGGCACCCTGAACAAAACATGAAAAATTATATCTAGCACACTGGTATAGATCCTCATTTTTTGACAGCAGGTAATGGTGGTTAAACATAAACTTTTTTTTGCTCTTGAAATTTCATACAACCTTTGGTGGGAGTTTGAGTGCATCGTGGCAGATACGTCCTGAATTATCAATGTTTGGATGGTAGATTGAGGTCAAAAATCGTATTTTAGGAGGTTCAAATGGGTACCTATGAGGGGGAAAATAGCAAGTCAGTTCTACTATGGTGCAGGTGAGACTTGTAACTGGTGACTGGTAGAGAGAAACCCATCAAAGTTAAAGAGATGAGAGAAAAATAAAAGTTACCTCTCAGGAATTTTGACCTCCAAGGAAAAGAGTCCTCCCTCATAAGGAGTTCCTGTTCCACCCACAATCTCTACAGGGGAAAATAAAAAAGCCCAAAAGATATAAATAGCTTGTCATACATGTCAACAATTTCCCTGAGGTTTCCACCAAAGGGATCAATAAAGTTCTATTCTATATGTTTCTGAGAACAAATGCGATTGTTAGCAGTTTAATGTATTTGCATATTTGCTTTTGTTTTTTGGTTTTTTTCCACCTTATTAACAGAACAATGTAAGACAGCAAAATTAGGGGGTTGGCAGGTTGCATCTAGGATTACAACAATGCAAAACATGACAGCAACCATTATTCAAATATCTAAATTGTAGGTAGTGAAAATATTTAGATTCTTCTTCCTCATGCATAGTTATGTGGCAGCGCATGACAACAACTCTAAACACACAGTTCATAACAAAGACGAACAAGTATTGCAACAGATAGTGTGGCCAGATCTCTAAACCACAAAGAGACAGAACCAACAGAGACAGACTAAATTCAGAGAACTGTGGTGATTTCTCCAAAATGCTGGAAACAAACTGTCTGCCACTAACTTGAAAACCATGTGCAAATAAAACAGCTAGTGCTGCTTAAAAAGCAAAGCGTGGTCGTGCAAAAATATTGTCCATTTCTCTTTAATGCAATTATTTATGGCATTATAAAGACACAGATAATGTACATTCCAATCTACATCTTTAATTCCAGTAAAAACCTGCATTTATAAAATAAGTGAAATAATGATTCCTCTACTTTCTGACAATAGACACAGCTGTTATCAGTTAATGTAGCAATCACATTACAATATGGACATAATTATAATTTAGATTTTTTTTTTAAATCTCCTTTTGATAATGATTATAACCTTAGATTGAGTAAACTTTGATCCATGCAGTAACTCCTATAAGTATGTGTATACTGCCAAGGACTGCAGTCCTTTTTAAAAATCAGTGACATGATCTGTTATCTTAACTAGACTTTGAATCTACACTCTTGCACACTTTGCTAAAACGAACAGTCTATCAACAGTCCTACAAGAAATCCTACCTTGTAAAATGTTTGGTTTTTGCAGTTTGTGGTCTGTTTTAAAATGGGGGGTATGATTCGTCTGGACGTCTTTGTGGTTGCCCTGAATTGCATTATACTTGCATTATACAGAGAGGTGTCTGTGCTTTTAGTCTAGCCTCACTGATATAAGTAGTGGACACAATAACACTATCCAAAACTGTCATAAAGTTGAAACTCCTCTCTAAAACAGATTCAACAAAATGTAAACATTATAACATAAGGATTTATTGCAAAACTGTGGTATGAAACAGCCTAAATTTAAGCCCAGTGCACTAAATAAAATGATGACTGGGTGTGTAGTATACACAAGACGTTGCATTATTTAAGATTTGATAACATGAGATATTTTATTTATTTGTGTCATGTCAGGGCTGCAAGGTGGCTCGGTGGTTAGCACCGTTGCCTCCCAGCAAGAAGGTCACCGATTCACGTCCCAGTGAGGACACTGGGATCTTTCTGCAGCGTGGGTTCTCTCCAGTTTCTCTGGCTTCCTCCCACACAATCGGAAAACATGTTGAGGTTAATTGGTGATTCTAAATTGCCCATAGGTGGGAATGTGCATGTGCTTGGTTGTCTGTCTCTGAGTGTAGCCCTGTGATAGACTGGCGACCTGTCCATGGTGTCCCCTGCCTTCACCCTAAGTCAGCTGGGATAGACTCCAGCCCCCGCGACCCTAGTGAGGATTAAGCGATGTATACATAATGGATGGATGTGTCATGGCAGAAAGGGTGGATTTAATACAGCTTAAAAATCATGTAACTGTGGCAGTAGGGGAAAGATTCACTGCCATTTATAGTAGCTTTGGCCGTTTAAGACCCGGTGACATGGTCCTTACGTGCCCGGAGGTCGTCTATCCGTTCCTCGGTTTGCCAGCATGTTATCCCGGGAGGCGGCTCGGTGCTCAGCATCTGAAGTTCACGCTTCAAACGGGAAGCCCTCTGCATTCTGTAACGCCAAGACTGGAGTGAAATGATTGGATTCGTCCATACAAATGTAACTAACATCAATGTTACATGAATAAAAACAGGCGATGCTGCCTCCATATTGGACCCGTCGTAGCATTAGGGTTTTATTCAACACTGCATGGGTCGCAGTCAAGGGATAGACTGGACCCAGAAAATAAATGCATCTCATAGTGGAGGAAATTGCTGTAACATGATTCAATGGCGCTATTTTTGTTTGTTCTTGTTGTCCAGGTGCATGCTTCTTATAAAATGAATCTGTTATGTCATTTACAGTTAAGCTTGCCTCCTTGTTCAGTATGAAGCTAACGTCTCTGGCTGCTAACGCTGAGGCAGCGAATAAGCTCGTATAACTTTTAAGTTCAACATATAGCAGTAAAGTTACATTAGGGCACTGTTTACTCGGTATTAAAGCATATTCGCTTACTTTGTACCAGTTGCTGTCCACTTTACTATCGCTGTCTGGCTTAATTTAACTTTAAGCTTCCTTCGTTGATCTTTATTTTGGATTTCCCTCCGCCGACGTCATCAGCACCGCCTGCCTTCTTCTTCTTCTTCTTCTTCTTCTTCTTCTTCTTTTTCTTTTTCACCCCTGCTTCTTCTTCTTCTTCTCTTTTAAAAGCGGTGCACTCGACCGCCACCAGCCGTTGATTTCATAGCGTTGTCTTTTATCACAGTACCTAAAATATTACACAGCATCTCCTGGACTTAAGCATTCTCTGGGAATAAATAAATATAAACTCACATTGTTAAATTTAATATGATATCCACAAGATACCAAAAAATAACTTAATATTTCTGACAAAATGCCATGAAAAACTTGCCTTGACCAGGGAAGTATTGTCTTGAGTACTTGAGCACCGCAAGGATTGTATTAATCATCAGTTCATCAGTTTGATTAGTTTTTTGAGAAACAAATTAAAAAAATTATATGATGTCTGTTACATTAAATTCAAATATATCTGGTTTCTTTACTCCTCAGTGAAACTTATTATTTTGAATTGTGGGGTAAATAAAACATTTGCATCTGTCATCTTAAGCTTTGGGAAACACTAATCAACATGTTTCACCATTTTCTGGCAAATTAGAGACCACATAACTTAAGCATTAACCAAGAAAATAATTAAAAATAAGAAAATAAGACAGGGGAAATTCAGACATTACAACCATTAGTTGTAGAACTATTTTGGTGGCATTCAACATGTAAAAGTTTGGGAACCAACATTTAAAAACCACACAACACACCTCCATTTATTAGATTTTATTTTACTTTCTGTTTCTTTATTTTTATTCTATCATATGTTAAGATTTTGCAGTGTTTTTATAGCATGTAATTGGCACAAAAGCTTATTTGGACATGAATAAAGATGACCTGGTTTTGATGCATTTTGCTGCAGATATTCCAGTGAGCTAAAATTTTTCAAACAAATTAAAACAATGGAGTAACAATTTACAAAAATTAACATTTGCTGTCGTATTCTGATCTGATAATGCGATCATTCCTCTAACCTCTGTTCTCCAAAGAAATGTATCCAAGTAAGATGTATTTAATATGACATGCAAAATATAATGAAAAGAAAATATCCTTAATAAAAACCAAACAGTGTCGTATTTAAGTGATGCAGCCGAAGAAGGCTCAAATTGAGATATAATCAACATAACAAGCTAGGATCATGTATTTGTTTTGTCATTATGCTAAATCACCTTTAATCTATCTTCAAAAGGCACACAATGGAATACCCAATGGAATCCCTGACGTCACAATCATAGAAGTAGCGCACACTACTCACAGTATCACTTTGAGGCAGTGGCATAGATAGCCTGGAAAGTAATGTTTTTGAGCTGTTTGTCTTCCATTCTGACATCAATGAAGCCAGAATCTTTTAGAGCTGCCATATAGGCCTCCGGACGCCAGTTCTCCCCCTCCATCACCCGCTGTGCTGCCAGACGAGCCACACGGACAAGCCTCAGCGTGGTCACCATCTGGCCTCCTGAGTGGGTTCAGAGAAGGGGGGAAATGAAATGTACTCAGCATTGCAAGAGCTACAAGTAAGACAAATCACCAGACCATCTCCATGGCAGGTTCCCTACCCGGTTTCATTACGCGGTGTATCTCTGTTGTTCCCTTGCGGAGGTCAGGCCAGAAGTAGTAGCAGTTACAATGAAAGACTTTATCCACAGAGCTGTCCACCAGCGGCATTGCTGCCACATCACAGTGGTGAAGGGTCACTTTCCCACTGGCCACAAGCTCCTTCATTTGCTCCTTTGCCATCTGTCAAAGAAGAAAGAAAATTCCACGCTTCCAAATGTAAGTAATGTTTCCTCTTTAAACAGTTTGGTCCCAGCCTAGCAGCAATAGTTTTCTCAGCCTGCCTGTTTGCCAATAGTTTCTTCTATTTTGTTCAGAAATACTGTAGCTAGCTTAGACAGATTAAGAAGGATAGTTACATCTGCAAACACCTTATGCCATGTCTTGGATTTTGTGGTTTTAAGACACTCATTTTATTTAAAGACACTGTTTGGAACACCTTGTAACAAACTCCAAAACCCACATGTGAGAATTAAACTTAGATCTGAGTACTTTATTCCACTCTGTATTCACACCTCACCTGATACATGTACTCTGAGTAATCCACCCCTATCAGGTGGCCTGTCGGATCTGTGAGCAGTTTGGCTGCAGCCTGCAGACCCACGCCCGGGCCGTGACCCAGCTCCAGCACTGTGTCCCCGGGCTGGATCCCACACAGCTGGACAGTATTCTCCTCGAGGACCTGGTTGCGAGAGGTGAGCAGTTTGCCGACCAACCACCCTGCCACCGATCGTGTCGGGAGGCCCAACTGCTTTCCCAATATTTTAGTCCACATCGCTGGAGAATACGATAGAAAAGACACACAAGCATTTTATGATAAAAACTGGACAACCCATTGTTTTATGAGTGTTCTCTCATATGTATGTGAAAGTAAAAGGTTTGGTTGAACCCTCAGACCACCGCTGCTCTCCAACCACTAATCCGTCAGTAAAATTATTACATTGACAAAAAAAAAATGCTGATGCTGAACAGTGGAGGATTCAAACCAAAACTCACGACTAAATCCATCACTATCTGACCCTAAACCACGACTCTCAGAATATCTCTTTGCTTTCAGAGATGCAAAGCAGAGACACGTCCGAACCAAAATACAGCCTCAGTTAGCACAGTTCAGTAAGTGCAGGGACAACACAAGAAGTCGAGTCTACCAACAGAAGAAAGAGTGAGAGGTTACTGCGTGACAGGCGAGGCAGAGATGAAATTTCTCTTAGAAATACAATGATGTAAGAATGGAATATTTTTAAAACAAGTTCAACTCATTCATTTCAAACTTCATTAGAGGGACAAGGAAGAGCAACGGATTCTATCAGTAGAAGGACACAAGGCTTATCTAACAGGAGGACACACACAATTAAAACATCAGTGAATGTGACAGACATGCAAACAGCCCATAACACATATTTACATTTTTTTTCTCTTTTTTTTGTCATCCAGTTGTTCTTTTGTACTATCTTATTTATTTTTCTTTATTCTACTTAATAAATCGGGTTTTTCTTTTTAAATTTTCACACTTCCTTTGTACTTTTTTCTTTAATACGCCATACACACTTTTGCAATATTGTTAGCCTGACATTCATGCCAATAAAACACACTGAAATTAAAGTTGTTTTTTTTATGTTGGCCTCGAGATTCAAGATTTGTTTTTTGTCATTTCTTGTGTATTTGCATACATTATATATATACGGGGGGGAGAAATTAAAGATATGCTGTTCTCCAAGTCCCAGTGCAGTGCAAAACAAACAAACAAACAATAAATCTAAATAACTTGAAAAATACAACTAAGAATTATAGAATAGCAACATGTTACAGCTATTGTGCTTATTTTAAATCTTTTAATCTGCTGTAAACCTGCAGAAGGTTAAGATCATTGAAATTATCAGGCTGTGGGATATCAAACTATTAAAGTAGGACTTTGGACCTCACAGTTTTCTGCTGGATTACAGACACACAACATAACAGTTGTGCATTTGGAGTGCTTTATTGCAAAAGTTGAACCAGTGCGCCGATTTCTCACCAATCTGGCCGCACCATTGCGCGCCACTGACCTGGAAAGACACTTTACCTACTGTGAGTTGTTGTCCACCGTCGTCCTGCTCCTGCCTACAGTCTCTTCAGTCTTCCTGAAAGAGGAGGAGTTCTCAGGTCGTGTGTTAATCGGCGCAAGCGCTGCTGCTGCGAGCTGCGCTGTCACTCACTGTTTCACACTCCCACAGGTCTCCGATCGGTCACTTTTACGCAATTTTATTTCACTTTTCCCCCCTACAAGAGTTTTCCATTCGTGTATTTGGAGCGTGAAAAAAAAAATCACACTAAATCGTTTATCTACCATGCTTGATATCTTAAAATACCTCTTAATCCAACGCTTCCAGAAATAGACAGCGGGATCAGGCAGTGTAATCAAACGCAGCGTTTTTGGAAATGTCGCTTCCTCCAATCGGCCCATCTTGCGCACACCCCCCAGCTTCAAGGATTATGTTTCTTTCGTTTTCATTTCCCGGAAGGCTCGAATGTGAAAATAGTAGAGTGTTTATTTCTTCTGAATTTTCATTTAGAATGGAGTTTGCCGAGGTGTGAGCTCGACTTGTTTTCATTTATTGGACTAAGTGTGCGTCTGCTTAAGAGGAAATATTGTTTTTGTGTGTGTGTGTGTGTGTGTGTGTGCGGTCGGCCACTTAAAGGACGTTTCCATGGCCAGCGTTTCCCCTTCACCTTTGATCAAGGTAAGTTAAGTTGCAAACTGGCTTTAAAAAAAAAAAAATCTGTTGTCTGAGTAAAGCAAACAGAGATCCTAGAGCTTTACATTTTGTCTGGCTATAACCAAATGCTGTTTTTGACCTTCTTACAAACGTGCCTTTGCTTTCCTTTCTGTTTCAACACTGCCACTAACTGGTGTGTGTGTTTGCTCGTGGCCATGTGTGTGAATGTTTTGTAGCAAGAAACCAGAGCAAGCAGTCCCACATCTGCAATGCAAAGCAGTCAAATCAATGTTCCTCCCAGCATGCATCGCTCCCCACCTAACCGGGCTCCTGTGGTCAGTCCTTCCGCCCAGGAGGACCTGTGGCATCTACCTGGACGGCTGAGTGAGTCCAACGTCCTTCTCAGTTCGACCGTGAATACCATGCAGCGACACCAAGGTCACACGTGCCGTCTTGTTTTTGAATTCCTTGCTTTCCAGGAATAAACCCTTCCCTGTGGGACAAGGAGGACGTGGCCCACTGGCTCTACTGGGCTCAGAAGGAGTACTCGCTGCGCCGGCCGGAGAAAGGACACTTTGAGATGAACGGCAGAGCCTTGTGCCTGCTCACCAAGGAGGACTTTAGACGTCGCTGTCCCAGCTCAGGTATGCACAAATCAGTCCGTGTGCAGGAAAGAAGCATGCCAGCCGGTTTTGCGTCTGCGTTGTCATGTGCACCTCTTTGTGTTCTGCAGGTGATGTTCTCTACGAGATCCTTCAGTGTGTGAAACAACAAAGGAGGAGCATCGTCTCCGATCCCCCGTCTCCGTCTGGGCACATTCAGGGACAAGACAGCAGCCAGACACTCACTCACACTGGGAAAGAGCCACAGTGTCCCACAGCTGACGACACCCCAGGTCAGTAGTGTCATGGAGTACATTTTTGAGCCATTTTTACTGCTCTGTTGGCATGCAGGGAAACTCACTGTAGTTCAGAGTAAAGCAAGAGAGTTTAGTTTGTGTAGCACTTTTTAAGCCCAAATAAGGAAAAAAAAAGCATCAGAATTTCTTTCAAGAAGACAATAAAAGGGAAGGTAAAATACAAAGTTGGTTAAAAATCATAAAATATGAGTTTTAGTGGAGTAAAAAAAAAAAAAAGAGGCACTCTATTCAATAATTGGAATAATAAAAGAGAAACTAAATCAATTAAAAGCACAGGAGCACGGTTTTTAATGTAGGTTTGAAAGCGGTGAATGTTGGAACACGTTTATCGTCATTCTGGCAGTTTAATCTGTGTGCTGAATAACAGATAAAAGCAGCTATTTCCCTCTGAACTGAGTCCCTGTCTCTTTATGACAGATCTGCTGGGTTTATTTTCTTCAAGCACATTAGAAATGTGTTTTGACCCAAGGTTACAAAGCAGCAGCAACACTTTAAAATCTATCCTGTAAATAACTGGAAGCCAGTGTGAAGATGTAAGCACAAGAGTGATGTGTTCAGCTCTTCAGCTCGGTAGCGCTTTAGCAGAAACACTCTGAATTTACTGAGAGGTCTACATACATGGACACACAGATGGATTGTTGTACGGTGCATCCACAAGGTTGTGCGGCAGCAGTGCTCAAGTGTCGACGCTTTGTCTGTTTTTCTGAGTTTGTTTGATATCAAATCAAACTTGTCCGTCCTGTTAGATTGTTAGACTGTGGGTGTGTTTACTTCCTTATTGTGTTCCAACGCATCATGCAGGAATTAACATCATCTCCTGCTTTCATTTAACTGCATTTGTGAGATAACCCAAACTTGAAATCCCACCCAGTTTCAACCCAAACATGAACTTTTCTCTGCATGCGAGGACAAGTTAATCACTGGTTCAATGTTGTGAACTACACAACATGTTTGTGTTTTTCGCTCGTTTAAAGGGTTGATATGCGTAAACTGAAAAGTTTTGTTTAACTTCATGCATCAGACGAATGTGTTGGCGCTCAGCATTTCCCTGTTTAAGCTGCAATAAATGGAAACACTCAAGTACCAGCACCAGTACACTACAAACACATTCCCCCGGCTGTCTCTACCCTAAAATCGGTGCTTTCCATTACAGGAAGTAGGATTTGTGCCAGTCGTTTGTGGTTACCTGGATACCAACTCCAGAGTCCAGAACAATGACTTTGTTCTGTGCGCTGTGTGCAAGTAGTGAAAAGGTTTCTTTGTGTTCAACATGTTAGCCTTTGATAAATTTGTTAATGTGTAATGTCCAGGCTGCTGTAAAATCACTTTTGCTTTCAGTTTAGCATTTCACATTTCCTCATATTTCTCTCTTGCAGCTTCCCCCATTCTCACCACTGCAGCTGTCGTAGCCACAGTGAGCAGCCAGCCGGAGCTCTTGTCACCTTTCAGAATTCACCCCGTCTTTTTCACTCGTTGTGCTCCACTCACACACAATAGTGGGTATAACAAATGACTGTGCCAGAAATACAGTGACCTGCAGATCTAATTTTTCAATATGTTGTCTGATTTTCCGTCTGTCTCTCTTTTGTTGCTCTCTGCAATTTTTCTCTCTCTCTCAGACGGATCAGCGGCCGGCTCCACGTTGCCTCAAAGCCAAATTCGGTGTCCTCCTCAAACAGAGAACGTCGTCCAGGAGCCTCTTAACCTTTCCAGTCGAGAGAAACCAAGGAGCCCACTGCACAAAGCCAACGGCCGCATCCCAGGTACATTCATTTGCAGATACTTGCTTTTTACTCAGAAACTGCTACAAAAATGAATGCATTTCTTCATGTGAACAAAACTTTACATGCACCTGTACAGACCACGTATATCACGATCGTCTTGAGTTTCCAATGACCCCCATCACTCTGAATTTTCTGATATATTATATTTCTACCAGTTTAAACATCACTTGGCCTTTTTCCCTTCAATTTGGCAATTTTGGTAGCCGTCCACAAGCACCTGGTTGTATCTTTGATCCCTCCTCTTGACAGAATTGGTGCAGTTAAAGTAAATTACAAGCACATGAAAACTTTTGGTCTCGACTTTATATTAAAACTTAGATATCAATTTTCAAAACTTGGCTGCAAGGTGGCTCAGTGGTTAGTACCATTGCCTCGCAGCTAGAAGATCCCTGGTTCGCGTCCTGGTAAGGACACTTGGGATCTTTCTGTGTGGAGTTTGCTTGCTTGCCCCGTGCAGCGTGGGTTCTCTCTGGGTTCTCCAGCTTCCTCCGACACAGTCCAAAAACATGTTGAGGTTAATTGGTGATTCTAAATTGTCTGTAGGTGTGAGTGTGCTTGGTTGTCTGTCTCTAAGTGTAGCCCTGTGATAGACTGGTGACCTGTCCAGGGTGTCCCCTACTGGATAGGCTCCAGCCCCCCCTGCGACCCTAGTGAGGATTAAGTGGTGTATAGATATTAGATCAATTTTTAAAACTAGGATGTAAGAAAAACTCATAAACCTTTAAAATGTCTTCAGCCAATAAAGATCTGATGTTTCATGTGTTAGCAAGCTGATACTTAAGACACATCAGACTAACCCACAAAGTCCATTTACTGGCAACTAATAGTTTTAAGTTCAACATTCTTTCCTGTTTCTGGTCTCCTCAAGAAAAGAAAAGAGTGACACAGACCAAAAGTCATGAAGCAATATACTAAAAGCGGCTCTAATAAATCAATCCCTTGCATTAACATGTGTGTTATTGCTACTTTAACCGTTTCCAGAGTGCCGACTCCTGTGGGACTATGTGTATCAGCTGCTGTGTGATGACCGTTACCAAGAATACATCCGATGGGAAGAGCCGGAGCGGCTGGTGTTCAGGGTGGTGGACCCAAACGGACTGGCACGTCTCTGGGGGAACCACAAGGTCAGTTTGGAAATCACATCAAATCATAAATTAGTAAATCATGTAGCACAGCTGCGTGGTGACGTGCGATCTCTCTCTCTTTTTTTTTTTACAGAATCGAGACAACATGACCTACGAGAAAATGTCCCGTGCTTTGCGCCACTACTACAAGCTCAACATCATCAAAAAAGAGAGAGGACAAAAGCTCCTCTTCAGGTCTCTGCCCTCTTCTCTTCATGTTTCACTTCCTATCTTTTACCGGCAACGACTTGCAAACTCACCATTATTGCTTCTTCTGTGACTCCCTTCAGGTTTCTGAAACTCCCACAGGACATCAAGAAACAGCAGGTTGACACCAGTGCGTCCCCCGAGCACACGCCACCTCAGGATGGAGACTTTGCAGACAGCAGTCCTATACATGACTTCAGTGAGGACCGATTTGAGGTTTCACCTGATCGGGCATCTCCGCAGCCTCTCCTAGCTGGGGATCCAGTCAGATAGGAAATCAATTATGGATAAAATTCCCTAATTACAACACAAATTATAATAAATAGGAGCTTGTGGTGTATTTATGCTGTGGTTTCAGCTTCCAAAAAATAGCCTCTGCATGTACAGGTTGAACAAAATGCACTCTTAGACGTAGGATTGGAAACATTTATAACTGTGAGATCGCTTTTTGTTTCGCTGTGAATCAATACGTGTACATATGACTGTGATCTGGATAAACACTAACGATAAGGGACAAGGAAAACTGTGAAAGACATCACATACATATCTATCCAGCTGAATGATTATCAGCAGAACTTATTTTTTTCAGGCTTGCTTTTCATAATCACAGTACAGTTAACATGCTTATTTTCATAAACTATACAAGTCGTTCTGGTACGGTTAAAAATGAGTTCAAGTTGTTCTAGTTGAAGTGCAGATTGTTGTTTGGGAGAGTGAAGCAGGAGTGTTTGGTTTTGTTCTCATAAAGACGTGTGTTGCAGTTTGATTGCGATTTTTTTTTTGTCGTTTTGCAGTTATTTTACAAATAATTAGCATTATCACACTGAGGAAGGTGTTTGTTTTTTGTGAAATTTTCTGTTGCTTTGTAAAATAAACAGTGGATGCAGCTAACTGTAAACTTTTTTTAATTAAACATGCTTGCAACTAAACGCCATCAGCTTCGTACCATTTAGTTTACAATTTCATTTAGCAGACGCTATTATCCAAAGCAACGTACATCTGAGAGTAGATCACATTCGTACACCAGTGGCGACAGAGCTGCCATGCAAGGTGCTGCCTGCCACTGGGAGCAACTTCAGGTTCAGTGTCTTGCTTCAACTGTGGAGTGGGGTATCAAACCACCAACCTTGCAATTAGAGGCCAACCCGCTGTACCACCTGAGCCACAGCCACCTTTTACAAAGACATTGCATACACACATACACAATCTTTCGCTACCTAAATTTGTCATTTATCTGGGTTTAATGTTTATTTCAATTGAGCAATATTCAAATTATGTCTTAGAGGATGAACTGTTTGTAAAAATGAAAATACAGGGGACTTTGACAACTTCTTTGCAAAGGAAGGGTAAAACTAAGTTGTTCTCACACACGTCCACAGTGTCACAGATGTACCTGCAGGAGGTGCTGTGGTAGCATGGTAAACATGGACTAAAGAAATGGTAACCAGTGGCTCAGCTGTTGATAAATAGCCTTACCGCTTTGATATAACACAGAAAAGGAAACAGTGCACTGAATTGCACCATTAAAACAAACTGTATGTTTGCTTTTTGGTTTCAAAGTATTTGTAAGACATCTTAACTGTGATATGATATGATAAATGTACATTTAGTTTGAGGGGTAAAAAAAAAGACAAAAGAGTCAGATGAGGATATTGATGTTTTCATGTTTCTTTGAGTAGGTCATTGAAAGAAGGATCTGTTGAGTCTAAAATTTTTCGAAACCCAACGATATATTTGTCACATATTTTTCATGTGGGTTGGCAAACTTAGAAAATATTGCTTCAGTTGGCCTTGTAATACCCCCTGAAGAAACAAACAGAAAGTCATTGGCCTATGTTATATCACATGGGCATGACCAACACGGCATTTCGAATTGGGATACAGCTATTTAAAAACACTGACTGAAACTCTATCACAGTTTTCGCTGGATAGTTCATCTCGACACTACTACTTCTAACCAGTAAAGAACAAGATTAGACTGATCAGAAAATCTTTGGAAAATGGCCCCTGGTGTTTCCAGTTGCCATTATCGCGAAGTTCCTCGTTCCATCTCCTTCTCTGGATCTGGATTTCTGGCCACCTACCAGTTGGGGGTCATCCAGTGCTTCCTGAATCATGCGCCCTGGATACTGCGCACTGCACCTTCCGTGCTTGGCGCATCTGCTGGATCTCTGGTAGCAGCTGCTGTGGTGTGTGAAATGAACCCGAGTAAGTACCTTTAGCCTGTCCTTTGTTCTAAATTTAAATCTGTTGGATGGAATTATTTTTTGTGACTCTAAGTCCTTTTTGTTTTTACAGCTTCCATCAAGGATGAGATTATTCATTTTGCCAAACAGATGAAAGCTTTTACACTTGGACCGTTGAACCCCTCAGTCAATGTTTTCCGCTGGTTAGAGGATGTTTTGAGGAAGCATCTTCCCGATGATGCTCACCAACTGGCCAGTGGTCGCCTTGCCGTTGCTACGACCCGCCTGACTGATGGCAAGCACACTGTCATGACTGAGTTCCACTCCAGGGAAGATGTAGTACAGGTTAGTTTACACTACAGCCATTTATAAGGACTCAAAGCAGGTTATAAACAAAAAATGAATCCATATAACCAACAGCTCTTGCATGCTGTCCATAGGCTCTGCTCTGCAGCTGTTATGTGCCCGGATACTGTGGTTTTCTGCCCCCATCCTTCAAAGGAGTAGTGAGTATTTTACGGCCTTCTGACACTTAATTCAGCCACCTCATTCAGCTCGTGTGACACATGTGCTCTTATCTGACAGCGTTATTTGGACGGAGGTTTTACTGGGATGCAGCCCATCTCCTCCTCCAGCACACTGACGGTGTGTCCATTCTCCGGAGAGACAGACATCTGCCCAGCCGACACTCCTTGCATGTGGGAGATGGTAACAAGCGGGGCAGTTCTCAATGGCAACTTGGCCAACAGCTTAAGGATCGTCAATGCCCTTTACCCCATGACTATGGAGGTCAGACTCCTGCTGCTAAACTGCCCATTACTTACGTTTTCAGGCTATTATGGTATGAGAGTATTTGGTGGATGAAGAAAAGGTTTTTAAAAAGTCACAATAACAATTTTCCAAATGGAAAACAGTAAAGTAAAGATGAAAAAAAAAATCTTTGAATAGTATTTCAGTAACTGTGTTACTCAATAACACCATCTCACAATCTATATTGACCCTTGAATGAGTGTAGATGAAGGACACTCCAGCAGCCACTCAACTATCTTTCTCTTTTTGTGTGTCTCTGTTGATGTTGTTTTTTTTCTCTCTAGGTTCTAGAACAAGCCTTCCACGATGGCTACAAAGATGCCGTTCATTTCCTCCTGAGCAACGGTGGGTAAATGACAAATGATGTGTGCACCTAATGTGACCTAAATTTATCTTTCATGTTTTTGCCCTCATGTGCCCTATATTTTATGCTACACAAAGTGTCCCCAGGGCCACTTAGCTATGAGCACACTAATGAATGGATGCATCTGGAGACCACCAAAGAGCGCGAGGAGGAGACGAAGGTGGAAAAGGAGGTCACCCCTCCGACGACGTCTACAGCCAACAGATCCAAGCAGATGAGCAACTCCAAGGAGCAGGAAATCGCTAGATATCCTTCTCTTCATTTAGACATGACAAAGAATGGTATGGTTGGCGCACACGCACACAGACACACAAATATTAAACACCATTTTGCTGTCTGTTCTAATTTGATTTCTTCCTTGAACTTGTACATTACAGTTTGTTTTGTTCATTTAAGAATTGAGGCTACTGCAAAACAGTTGGATAATTACAATCACCCTTTGAAAAAACAATTTTTTGTCAACATTTGTGTTTCAGTTTTGCTGGCCAATTCGGTGACTTACCTGAGCATGTTGGGGCTCCCTGCGAGAATCTTGTCCTACCTGCTCCTACCTCTCACGCTGCTGTTCAGCGTCATACTTCAGAGTAGGCACAGGTAAGAAATACACAGAACATAACACAGACAGGAAAGACTCTCCTGTAAATCCACTTCATATTTCAGATCATATCAGGAAAACAAGATATATTGGGGTTATTTGAGTCTGAAAGGTCTGGATGTAGTAGTATCAGCTAAGTGTTTTCCTCAGTTTTTGATATTTCGCCACCTGGATACCGGTTTAGCCCTTGGATGACCATATTTTGATCACCGAAAACCAGGACACTCGGCCCGGCAATGAGATACTCAAGTGACACTCAAGGATGCCTTAGAATTTCAATTGTTTTAAAGTATGCCTCCTCCAGGACAGGACCAGGACATTTTCATCACTTAAAAACAACCAGAACGGCCAGGACAGGATGTGAAAACAGGAAATGTCCTGGGAAAACAGGACGTTTGGTCACCCTTCTCATTTAGCCCCTTGCTTTTTTCCCTTTTAGAGAATGATTGATCTCATATCGGGGCTGCAAGATGGCACAGTTGGTAACACTGTTGCCTCGCAGCAAGACGGTTGCCAGTTCGCATCCCAGTGGGGGCACCGGGATCTTTCTGCGTGGAGTTTGCATGTTCTCCCCGTGCAGCGTGGGTTCTCTCCGGGTTCTCCGGCTTCCTCCCACACAGTCCAAAAACATGTTGAGGTTAATTGGTGATTCTAAATTGTCCGTAGGTGTGAATGTGAGTGTGCTTGGTTGTCTGTCTCTAAGTGTAGCCCTGTGATGGACTGGTGACCTGTCCAGGTGTCCCCTACTGGATAGGCTCCAGCCCCCCCTGCAACCCTAGTGAGGATTAAGCGGTGTATAGATAAATGATCTGCATCACACTTTATTCTGTCAAGGCTGTTTAGTGCATCTTCTCTGTTTCCCTCAGACTGGGGCTGCTGTTCAGGCAGGAGCCTGAGTTGATTGGCTGGACTTGGCACAGCATGAGACTTTTTACTTTATTCTTTGTCACTGTCTGCATCTGTACCATCAAGAAGAACATACAGGGCAGGTAAGGTGACGCCCTTAAAGTGACTGTTGCTCTAGACATTTGGTTTGATGCTTTCGGGATCACTACTTACTTATTTTACAACTAATTTTGACTGAGCTCTGCCTTTTTTATACTTGTCTAAATTGGATGTGATTGAACTCCAGTCATCTCTGGGTTTTAGGGTCATGCCCATCATCCTGATGTTGCAGTGGCTGTCGATCCAAGGACATTATGAGGCTGAACGGGGGCTGAAGTACTCATCGCTTCAAAACAAGCTTTCCTCCCATTCAGAAGACGAGAGGAGCAGCAGTCTGCAAAGGCTAATAAACTCCTTATCTCCAGGTTACAAGAATCAGAGGTTACAGTAGCTGACCAACCAGAAATGTAAACACTGTATTCTTTGTACAGCCAGTCACATGTATCTTGTGACGCAAAGCCTTTATGAGTGCACATTTCTACTGAATGCACTTAGTCGGAAGGTTGAGGTTATTCAAAGAGGGCTTTATTTTATGTAAGCTAGTTAAAATGTTACACTGTAATAGCAGACCTCCACTAAGACTCAGTTCTAGCAGGATTGGTTCCTATACAGTCAACATTATACTGGATGTACGGCTGAGTAGCTAAAGACAAGGTATGAAGCCAAACAGAGAGAACAGTCTGAAGGTGGTACAAGTTATAAAGACATTGTAAGTGAAAACTGGACCTGATGTGGTGCTACTGGTAATTTATTGTTGAACTTGTCTGATTAATAACTGCTGACTTATAATAAGCTGACTGTAAACTGTACAACAATATGACTATAATCTTTAAATACTTTCTGTGTTATATAGAAATATATAGTTATACTCTTTCTTAGTCCAATGGACAGTATAATCAACGCTCCTAATCTTCAATATGCTGTTGTGTCTGTTGCTAAAACACAAAGCTCCAAGGACTCCAGACTGGAGCGGTTCATCAGCTGACTTTTCCTTAGAAAACAGCCATCACACATCCCTCTGTGTGTTCCACACTAATCAATTATCCAGAACTGCAACTAGAATATCTCAGGAAGAGCACTTCAGTCACGTAATAGGTTTCACTCCCGGGCAACACTATTTCACTTTTTGACATTTTCAGCGTAAGCTTTAGGTCGCTTGCGTCAGGTCACCGTGCAGTGACTCACTGGCCTCATGGCATGACATTCCACTTCCTGTTGCTCTGTTATAACATACTGTAACCAAGTTCAAAGTGTTCTGAATGACTTTTGTGACTGCAACTCAATAAACAGTGCTGCTCTTATTGATTTGTATTGCGCATTTGTACTATTTTATGTGTTAACTTTCAGCCCATGCTTCCTACTATTGTTTTCATTTGAGAAACATGTGGCTAAACATCTCTTTTTCGTCAGTTTACTGACACCCAAAGGGTAAGAGGCACTGATTTAACCTTTGATTTATGAGATAGTAACATTTAAAAAAGAGGCATTGTGTGGATATTTTTTTCAAACAACATCATGTCTTGCAGTGAATGAAATAGTAAAAACACTGTGACTTCTTGCTAATGCCTGTTTCAAAGGATATTTTTCCTTCACATTAAACCAACAACATGAATCATTGATCACAAGGGTGGAGTAAAGTGAGGCTGGGTTAATTGGGAATTTAACGGGTGGTGGGATCAGAACGTCTGCGAGATCTTAAGGGCAAACCCAGCTTAGAGTGTAAGTATCACACTTACATAAAGACAGTGTTTTTCTTTAGACGCCATTTTCAATAAAAGGTTTTGTTCTCACTCACTACAGGCACACTTTTTTGGGGGTATTTTTATACATGTATTACAGACAGCATAGAGAAAATTGCCAAAGAGAAAAATGCACGGGTTACATGGGTTTGAACTAGGGATGTGGCTGGCCACGGTCAACGTCTTAACCCCTAAACTACAGCCCATGCTCACTTGATCGGCTAATCCACTTTTCACACTACTGCCTGAATGGTAACATGTGTTGGCGCAGAGCTGGAACAGACGATTTTGATCTCTGTGCTCCGTGTCCTTTTATATACAGATGGCCTGTTACCTGCGGAGAGATCCTCTTATATAATGAGTGTGGATGGATCATACGGATAACACTCACATCTGCTCCTGTTTCTACATCAGCCACTGATCCAGCCAGTCAGCTGGCAACCAGCTGTCTTTGTAAAGACAGAGCCGAGACACGCGGTGGTGTCTGTATAACTGAAATATGGACGGGTTCATACATTTAGAATATGCAGGGAAAAAAATCTGCTAATTAAAAAAAAAAAAAAGAAAGAAAAGAAAAACTACATGCACGTGTAAGCTCTTCTCCTCTGTCAAAAGCCTTTTAAAATAATTTGAGAAAATTCCTGGCATGGGTAAAATTACAGACTGTTTCCTTTCTTTTGACCCTTTCACTAATCAGTCTGATAGTGAACATAGATTATTTGCAATGATGCACTTGCAAATGCACGATTTTTGGGGGGGATATTTTTTTGTAATTTTGGATAAATAGGCATAGTTTACTGTATGTGAAAGAAAGCAGAGGAGGGACAGACAGGGAGGCGGGAGGCTGGCTGATTTTATATTGAAAGAGTGTCATTGCCTTACTGCTTCCTGAGATGATGAAAATGATATTTGACATTTACTGCCCAACTGACTGACCGGTGTGCTAAAAACACACACACAGACACACAAAAATGAATAAAACCTGAAGTGAAAGCTAAAAATAGAGAGAGAAAAAAAAAACACCCAAAATTATTCTTTCAGTAAAATTTTGTATCGTGCGTCTCTGTGTGAGAGTCTGACAGATGATCAATTTGACATAAGTAACTCACCCTGAGGAGAGGAAAAACTTCAAAATTAGCAGGATGTTATATAAGAACACTGAAGGCGGATTGTTTAAGTATGTGAGAAGCCCTTTGGATATAAGCTCAGCATGAATGCAGTCAATTTGCACTTTCATAAGCACAGAAGGGAGACAAATTACAGTAAAGCAAAAGGGCAACTGAGTGGAAAATATACAGAACACACATGCTTCCATACAAGGCATGTAGTGAAAGGTCTCAACCTAGTTAAAAACAAGAAGGGAATGTCTATTGGAAGAATACAGCTTGTGAGACTTGTGAAGGTGCTTTTTATTTATTTTTTCCTTTAACTTGCCACTCGTCTGCTTTATGTATGGCTACTGATATCTAATGCTTAGGTATAAGATTAGATTAGATATAACTTTATTGATCCCTTTGGTAGGGAAATTGTTAAAGGGTTAAGCGAGGGTTCAAGGTATGAGAGATATTTTTTTCCCCTTGCGACTCTCAGAACCCCAAATTTTAAGCGAACACAGAGAAACTCCTTTTTCTGTACAGCACAAGCACACACATACAACACAAACCGAGACAAAGCGCTGCAACAATCCCAGATTTATTGACTATCTGTGACAATATGCATGCAAATTTCTGTAAAAGCCTTTTAAAATAACACTGTCATGCCTGAAATATCAATTACTAATTATTTTTCATTAGCAAAAATGTTCTGCTTTTCTTTCAGTGCATGGCTTTCTTTATGCAATCTTTAAAAACTAAAATCAACACAGATCACAGGATGGCCAGACACCACTTTATGACTCTTAGTTCACTGCTATGCTGTTCAGACTGAAATGTCTCAACAACTACTGGATAGACCGTTATGAAATTTGGAACGGATGTACTGAAGATGAATCCTACTGACTTAGATGATCCCATAACCTTTCCTCTGGCTCCATCAGCAGGTCACAATTTGAATGATTTATCCGATAAAGCAATGCTTACAAAATTACTTCGCATCTGCCTCAGTTGCACCACTTTTGGCTGCAGGCTCTTGCAATGCTCGTACAAATTTCACGCCCTCCCAAGAAACAGTCAACAGGAAGTTCTAGAAAATTCTTCACCTTTAGATGCCCAGGACATCGCTTTTTTGTCTGTCTCGAACGTGGTTAATCTGCGTTTATCTGGAAGGGACAATTTAGATTAAGTCAGTTACTCAATCAACAGAATGAAACAGATGTCAGGTTTCACTAGTGACAACTTGCATGTTTAATGAAAGACTCTGCTTGTGTGTGTGTGTCTTTGTGATCTGTCAGACCCTCAGCAGGATCCCGTCGTCCAATGGAGGAATAAACAGCAACAGATTGACGAGTTGTTTTTTTTAATGTTTCTAATCTTTTCTTCATGCCTCTTCGGGTATCTTCTAAATATAGAGCGTGGTTGATTAGACTGAGAGAACGTGTCTTGTGGTGGATGAAGCTCCATGCTAAGGGTTGTTCTTCTGTAAAACAGACTGGCAGTGTTCCATGAGTCTTAATTCTGACTGTTTCACTGTTCACAACTTCACCTCTGCTCTCTTGGCATCTTAAAGCTACATCCAATCATCCTTTTAATTTAGAAGGCTGTTCCTAGTGAGTACCGTGTGTGTACTGCTGACAGATTCCAGATTTAATGTCTATATGCAGATTTTTCTAACTTCCATCCATCCATTATCTATACACCACTTAATCCTCATTAGGGTCACAGGGGGGCTGGAGCCTATCCCAGCCGACTTAGGGCCAAGGCAGGGACACCCTGTACAGGTCACCAGTCTCTACACTTAGAAACAGACATCAAGCACACTCACATTCACACCTACGGACAATTTAGAATCATCAATTAACCTCAACATGTTTTTGGACCTTGTAGGAGGATGCCGGAGAACCCAGAGAAAACCCACGGGGAGAACATGCAAACTCCACGCAGATCCCGGATGTCCCCACCCGGATGCAAACCGGTGACCTTCTTGCTGCAAGGCAACGGTGCAAACCACTGAGCCGATTTTTCTAACTTCAGTAATTAAAATCACAAGTTTCAATTTTTTGTTTCATGCATATTGAAGCATGCAGTTGGTATTACGCTTTCTAACCATGTCGGCTATTTATGTCAAAACTAATCATGTTTCTTAACCATTTGAAAGCGTTTTTTAACTTATGAACTGAATCGTTCCAGAGAGAGAGAAAAGAAACAACTGTCACAACAAACCCATTCCCTGTTATGAATGTTTCTAGATAAAAATAGTAAACAACCATAGCCATGGTGGTAGTAATGACTAATCCATCTTTAGCACATCGATCTAGCAGAGATCCAATCTGTAGATTGCATTTGGCTGTGAAAAATAAATAAAAAGAATCAGAGGAAACCTCTGTAATACACAGTGCTCTCCAGAATGATTGGCTCCCTTGGTGAATGAAACAGGCTATTCAAAAATGTCTTGGCTGTTAATCGTCTGTATTCACAAAATTGTACATTTTCACTTCAGTAAAGTTATTGAAATGAAAAAAACAAGAGAGCTCCGAATCATGTGTGCCAAACTTAGCCTCTTAAGACCCGAGCTCTTGTTTGATATCCATTTATAAAAATGCATATCAGAATAAAAAAAA